ACCTTGACAAACAAAAATAAAGTAACTCACTGCTGTCAATCAGCTTTGTTTTGTAGTGTATACATGTTGTTTATACCTCCAAAATTATTGAGGGGGCACAGCTGTCAATTAGCTTTTTTTTCTATAGTAAATCATACATTGCCCCCCTCCCCAACGGAGTCGTACAGTACCCTCCATGTTATTAGACATGAAGGATGCTTGTATAAGCAAGTGAATGTTCTCTAAAAAGTTATCTAGACTCTATCTCGATACTTTTTATGAACATATTTGTTTACAGAAATTCATGTGAGTGTGCATAGGATTAAAATATTATTCATACGACGCAAAAGCATTGTCGTCCTGCGTCTTTCATGTATTCCATATACTAGTGACTGTTTTAATCTACAATGTTCTCAACATATGTGTTAAAGTTATGATAATTTTCTTTGGAAAATAATTTTTAACGAGTCTGGGCTATTTTTTACTTACATCACATCATTAAAGATACACAATATGTCAGAACTATCTCTTAAAGAAACCATAAAATATTTTAAATGTCCCATGTAGGAAAACTGGGATATTTACAGTAGGGAATTCGTGATGTATTTTTTTCAATCTTATCTAAATTGAACAAATTTGTTCAATTTAGATAAGATTTTTGAAAATATCTTGCATCTACTATTTGAAAAAGATCCTTAATTTTTTTTTTTTTAAATTCAGGTCAACATTTACTTCATAGATGGTTTTGAGTCTAATATAACCCTTAATGTAAAACTTTAGCTTTTTTAAAACTTTTTTACATTAAGGGTTGACAGGGGGTACATATATTATTTTTACAGAGTATGAAAATGTTAAAAAATTATATTTCACTCCGAATCTTTTTACTCAATTTTGTCGTAAAAGTGAAAATTTTAATACTGCAAAAAAAATTCTGTTTCTGTTGTGTGTGTGTGTGTGTGTGTGTGTGTGTGTGTGTTTTGTTTTTTTTTTTTTTGGGGGGGGGGGGGTGGAGCTTTATTTGATTTCTTCTTTATTTGCTTTTTTTTCCTCAAAAGACCGATTTATTACAGCGAGATAGTTTCTAGACACTTTGTTCCGGCGTCATGTTTTGGCTAGACTCCCTTGTGATAATATTAACTTTTACACCCTTTTACAGAACTACTACAGTAAGTGCACTTGTTTTCGGAAAATGAATATTTTAATATTAAGGACGAATAAAAGGTTTAAATCGACCCTTCATACATTTTTTTCTTCATTTTCTTAATTACTACTTTTAATATTCAGGGTAGCACTTAATCTAAAAACTGAAATATTAACAATAAGAGTTACAACAAATACCATTCACAAATACCTTTCATCAAACGTTCAATAATGTATTAACTAAAGTCCTCCAACAAGCATATTCTATGACATGCTTGGATTTCTTCATATATGCACGAGTTGTCCAAGTTCATCCCCTTATAAACTTTTAAACATGAAGAACTTAATTCTTTTTTGTTTGAATTATCAATATTTTTTTTTAAATGTGAATAGCTTTTAATGCTGCAAGAGAACCAAAATGCATCACTCTTATCATTCTGAATGTTAAAAAAAACTCATGCTTACCTTTATGGTCAGTACCTTCTTTCCAGAATTTAATATCGTCTATATCTTTTCTCTAAACGGTTACAAGAGAAATATTTAAACTGATGTGACCTTGGTCTTCAGAAACGCATTACTATGAATATGATTATTTTCAGATCATTTACCTGTGTAGGCGAGAAATTAAAATCAATTTCAGATAAGAATGACTTTTCATAAAGGTTGCGATAATTATAATCAGGTATATACTTATTAACGGCTTGTTTTTAAAGCAATGCATAGCACAAAACCATTTTAAAATTTCTCTTGGTGATTTAAGCTTTTAGAATCTTCATTATTAATTAAAATGATATTATTATCAACACTCTTTTTCTTCCCTCGAATTAATTATTTCCTCTTTTGTCAAAAAACAAAATAAACTTGCAAGATGTTTTTATTAGAAGAAATGATATTCGGTCGAACAAATTTTTTTCTAAATAAACTTTAATTTAACAGGAAATGCAGAAAAGCACCAGTGCTTAAACAATGCGTGAGAACTTTGGCGATTAACACATCATTTGGAACCTAAAAGCAAATGTGCATGATATTGTAGAATAAGGAAACTGTCCTTCAAATCCAGGTTCATTTCTCTCATTATGTCTACTTAAACTTCAAAATTAAATGTTTGACAAAGATGAAGATAACACACAGTGATAAATCTAATAAAACCTACAAACAATACACTTTTGTGAACAGGGCAAAAGAAAATGGACCCCTGAAAATTCCAGAAGTGGGATCAAGTACCTAGGAGGAGTAAGCATTCCTTGTCGGCTGGTCACATCCACAGTGAGCCCTATGTATTGAACAGGTAGAGGGAATCCGTAGTGAACTTTAGTTTAAAAAAAACTATGGCCTAACAACTGGTAAGAAATATGTCAGTCAAATACGACCAATGATAGGTTGAGAGGACGAAGATTTACATTATTACTGTAAATAGCATTGGAAGTCTGAGGAAAATAAATATTTGGAAATAAGTTACCTGTCTATGGCTATAAAAGGGAGAAGGGGAAAGTCCAAAGTCAAAGAAAACATCGCTTTGTAAAAGAATTGATACAAAAGAATTTAAATAACAAAGAAACGAGATGCTAGGAAGTTTAATATAAATATAAAACAAATTTATAGAACTTCAGAGATTCGGAATTAAGCTAACATTATTACATCAAAACATAAATTCTAAAAAAAAATTTCATTGGCTTAGTTAGAGATGCGAAGTTTATCTTTGCCATAAATCCAACACAGAATGTAACCTTTGGAGAATGTATTTGAAAAATAAGACATATATATGCTCTGTTTTCATACATTATACGGCGTTATGGCACAGATACGTAAACCTTGAGGGTTTGGATTGGTGGTGTCTGAGGTCACAATGGCGTGAGTGATGGTACGGGATGATGAGGCGTTTTCAATGGCGGATACTTCTCTCTTAGAGGTGGACACTGTTGCTTGAAGGACTGATTTTGCTTTGTCAGAGGTAAAAACGACATGACTGACTACAAGGGATGGAAAGGAGTTTTCAAGGGCGGATACTTCTTCCTGACAGGTGGCCACAGTTGCTTGAAAGACAGATACAGTTTCGTCTGAGGTCACAAAGATATGACTTCATATTAAACACAATTATTTAAATAAGCGTATCACGATTAAAAAGATTTTGAACACAAAATGATAACAAGGATATATTTCTTTTAAGTGCGTTTTGCACCATGACCCAGAAAAACTTGTATTACACAAACCAACTGTCAAAATCAAAAATTCGGATGACTTGGAATATGCAAAGTATCCACGTGAAATATCTACACTTTGTAAACATGATAAAAAATTTAAAAAGGTGGCTTATCTTTCCAGGTACATGTAGATGAGGTATGAAGGTTCTCAAAGACATATTTTTTTCACACAAAACTAATTCAAGAGACTCGATATGCAATATCAAACTACAAAATCATTTTTTTAATTTGATCAATTAATAAGTAAAAGAAATCAAAATTAATATATTCCACTAAGTTTTCAAGGACCACACAGGTGTGTGCACGTGTGTGTGTGTGTGTGTGTGAGTGTGTGTGTGTGTGTGTGTGTGTGTGTGTGTGTGTGCAGACTGATGCAGACTGTATAAAAGAGGCACATTTAATGGGAAAGAAAAAGATATGTCTTTAAGATTTTAAAGATTTTATTTTTTAAATTATGTATATTATTTAGTTTGTAAAATTAAACGCCACACCATCAAGCCACGTGCTCCTTTTCACTTAGTTCCGACCTTATTTATTATAAATGTAAAGTGTAAAATGGTACTTTTGTCAATTATTTAAAGGAAAGTTTCTAATTATTTTGTGTTTGTAAATTAATGACTCCTAAATATATCAACCCAGGAACTACATATCTAATTTAATACAACATTTAGTGTGTTTTGGTGTGTGAAAACAGGTAAGGAGTTTAAAACAAATTCAGCAATTTAATAAGAATTATGATTTCCACATCATTAGGAATACACCTACTGTATTGTTTAGTGAAAATTGTTTATAAATCGAATATTTAGTGCCTGTACGTTAAATATCATTGAGAATTAAAATCTTATCACTGCATCATACATCAATGCTATGTACATGTTTTACTTATCGATGTTTATTCAATAAAAGTACATATGGAATTTTCTAACTTGTTTTACAATTCAAAAAGAAAGAACGTTAATACATGTAATATATTCAATAGATATTCAAAAAATAAAATTATCCAATCATTTCTTTCATGTGCATTTCAAGGGCATCACACTTTTTATCCCTATGTTAAAAGTCAAAACATATCGAAACCTGTTGTCTTTGCAAATACATTCTGTAAGTAATACCTTTTCTAATCAATCAAATACAAAGAATCCTTAATTTCAAAACTACATTTAGAAAGAAATCTTTCTTCCTATGCACGTGGAAATATTTTCTCTGTAAACTAATACATCTTTACTTGGAAATAATAGTTTACAGTCCATAAAACAACACACATATCTCAGTTTAGTATATTAAACAAAACACTTTGAATTTGACAAATACCCCGGTACATACATCCCTTGCAAGATGACCAAGACCAAATTTTTATCCTGCTTACAACTTTTTTTATTCAAATTAAATTGAAAACGGTTTAAATTTTTTAAAAGGAATGTAGAAAGATATTTTTACGCTAGAAATTTTAAACAAAATCCTTAATTTTGAAAAATTTTACAATCAACTAATAAGTTTTTGGTCTTAGTCGTAAGTTCTTTTGTAAAACGGGCCCCTGATCAATATTCTTAAGTATTGATTATTTCTTATATACATGTATGTAATGCAGATTCTTTTACATGCATTTAAAAATGAAAATCATTCTAATTTAACTGAATAGGACAAAAAACATGATCGGTCAGATAACTATTATAAACAGGGAGACCAAAAATTTTAAACAAATTGAAAAAAAAATAAATAAATAAATATGAAACATGCATGAGATTCTAGAATTAAATATGAGTATACCGGGTATATCAGATTTAATGTTCTGATTCAGTTCTAGAATTTTTATTCTCACTTAATATCGGATAGTTTTGTGATATGACATCATCATAAGATGGCGGAGGAGCAGTAAAATCTGAAGACTGTGCATAGTTAAATCCACTGCTTTGTATGCTTGATCCCTGAATATAGTGAGGAGATGCGTCTGAATAATCGTGATCAGACGTCTGCCTTTGTGATGGAGGAGACTGTGGAGAACCCTCTCTGTCGGAGATGGATGATGTCGTAGAACGTGAATCATCTTCTGGAGGAGCTTGTCGGACTACAACTGTACCATTGTCTGTGAAAAAGAAAAAAATTTGAGGTTTTTTTCTATATACCTTGTGATAAAATTTGATTGAATAAATGTAAACTTCGGTCATAAAAAACAAGTACTTTAATTTTTATCTTAGAACAATTGGAATGAAAAGGGTGAGGGTAACGAACAGTGATCATGCAGTGTCAAGAAACCTACAAACAATACAAATCTGTGAACAGGGCATAGGACACGGACCCCTGGAAATTCCAGAGGTTGGATCAGGTGCCTAGGAGGAGTTAACACCCCTTGCTGACCTATCACATCCGCCGTCTTCCCCATGTATCAATCAGGTAATCGGCATAAACAGTTTAGTATAAAAACAATGACCTAACAATTAGTATGAAATATGTCCGTCAAAATAAGACTCAATAATAGGTTGTATTTGCAAATAGGGTCATTTTATCGACCAAAGAAACGTGAATTTAGATGTCACTACAAATCGTGCTTGTGTTTTTAATGACAACAAAACGTATCATATACAGAAATCACACCTTGTTTTTACGGATATGTTTTATTCTAATTTTGGTTTCAATTTTTGTTTAAGTCGAGGGCAGTTCCTTTTTCACAAAGTTACCCAAAAGTATATGGAAATATGAGACCTGTAATGTCTGTTTTTGATCAAATTACTTCAACTTTATTTCCTTTTCAGAACAATTTGTTCATTGAAAATACTTAAGTATAGTAAACCGCACAAATGTAAATCATCAATGTCAAAATCACAAAATTATACGTAAGAAAACATAAACGATTTTTAACACTTTTTGATAACTTACGCCACTTTATACATTTTGAAAGAAGAAAATTATAGATAGACCACACGCTTCTAACTCGCTTTAAGCGCTTTAAGGGGGCCGACTGGGGTTTTCATTGCGCAATACTTTGCGCAGCATAGTAAAATCAAGCCTTTTTACACTTTTAAAGCAACTATTTTCATCAAATTTATCAAATAAAACAAAATTAAGAGATCAGAGTTTAAAAAAATCTAATTATAATTTCAGAACACTGATTTTTAAAAGATTTTTCAAGTGATAGGTGGATGGACGTCATAATATTGTGTTTATGACGTTATGATAACATGAAGTTTTTTAAGAGGGGGTCATAAAAAATGTTACAAAAGAAAAAGTATAAAATAAATTCTCTTGAAATTTAAAATACAGGAAGTTGAAGATCTCAAAATTGTTTTGTGATATTTTTTTTTATAAATCATTAGTATCTGTCATATTTTGTAGTACTCCATAAAAACAGGAAAATTTAATATTTCCTTTTACATTTTTAGATGCCCCCTCTGGAAACTAGACGATATAATTTTGTTGGGGGTTTTCATATAATATACAATATAGTATTAATCATCATACTCGTATGTAATAATTTGTGCTAAAACGTCTATTGTGATATTTGTAAAATTTGCTTTGAAGTACAAAAAAACTTGCATTCTCCCATTTAATCCCATAGTAAATGTACCTGTATTTTGAGACGGTCGCTAAAAATACCCAAAGATAGATTTTCCTTTAACTTTTGCATGTGTTCTAAAGTCATTTACTTACTAAAGAGTTTTTCTACTGTAGTTTTCACAAAATAAAACCCCAGTCGGTTCCCTTAAATGTGTTTTATAATCGTCTACAATTAAATAAAAAAATTGATACAGGTAGTTAGGGTACATCCCTGTTTCCAATTTATACATTCAGTTGAGATTTCCTTTACCCCGAGATGTTCAGAAACCCATTAATCAGCAGTGGTTTTATCCAGCAGCGGGTTTTATCCCAGAAGTTTTCTCAATTAAAAGTTTGTGCAAACATTTAGCCTATCATTATCTAGATTGCAATACCAAACCATATATACATACTTAAACTGAAAATAATATTTTTATTATTCAAACAATGTACAACCATATAACCTCACGTATAAAGAAATTAACTTAATTGTTTTTATTTACAAAACTTTTTTTCGCTTTTTGAATATATAATAGTAGCCAATAGGTTTAACATACATAAAGGTATTTGAAAACTATGCTATTTGAAACATATTTTGTAACCAGACAAACTACATATAATTAAAGTTGTCCGTTTACTAGATTTTTAAAATTAGCAGTAAAGTAACTATACATGCTTGCTCGCAAAAAAATGTCTGTAAATTCACAAAGTAATGTGTACCCTTGTAATTTTCTGAATGCTTATCATAATAGTTAATTATATTATGAAGGGAAAATAACATCTCAAACATTTCTGAAGGAAATGTGAACAAAACATCAACTATACATTTTCATTTTGAAAGTTGATCAACATATATTTTTCTCAGGCTAAGAAATAAGACTTATCCAGCCGTGTGAAAAAAATGCAAGCCATGTCTCTTATACAATATATTCAAGAGGTGATGTAAATCATATTTGGATTTTGAAAAACTCCAAAGAATTTATACAAAATTTAAAATTTCAATATTTTTCCAAAGTCAGAAACGTTAAAACATTTCATTTTCAACATTTTATACAACCATCCCTTACACTGAATTAAAGATCAGGCTTTCTGATATTATAGACAACCTCTTCTTCATTAAAAATGGATCTATGAAATTCTCATAATCTTGTGATTGGTCATATACAAAATTATTTTTTTTAAAAATCAGTCTTATTCTACACACAAGTACTCTAGATCTGAATTTGATATCAAAATGATAATTGAGTTCCTCATTGACAATATCTACATGTATGTAGTCTTTGGAGAAAACTCTTTTATTTTATTTCATTCGACATTCAGATATATCGACAATGTTTTATCAATTAAGAATAGCTACTTTCAATCATATTTAGAATAAACATATCCCAATGAATTTAAAATAAAAGACATTACAGAGCTTGCCACATCTGTTTTATCTTTGGTTGTTTTACTGAGTATAGACGATAATGGCCGACTGACAACTAAACTGTATGACAAACGAGATGGCTTTAATTTTTCCATCGTCAACTTCCCTTATTTATGCAGTAATATTCCAATATCAACTGCATATGGTGTTTATATCTCCCAACCCATTTGATAAGCAAGAGCTCGCTCTGAGTACGATAAATTTTTAAACCGAGCAGGCTACTGACTAATAAGATAATGTTACAGGGATTTCAAATCTCGTTAAAGTGAGCATTTCGAAAGTTCTGTGGTCGTTATAAAGACCTTGTTTACAAATACAACTTTTCCTTTTAGTCGTATTTTGACTAATATGTTATTCAATACCAATTGTTAGACCGTTCTTTTTATAATAAATTTAACTACGGATTACTACCTAATGAAAACATAGGGGTCGCGGCGAATACGACGGGTCGACAAGGGAGGCTTACTCCTCTTAGGCACCTGATTTCACCTCTGAGGTTTCCAGGGCTCCGCTTTTTAAGCCCTATTCGCAAATTTGAATTAATATACAGAATTTATTTTAGATCGGTCACTATTCGTTATCTTCCTTCGCCTTTTTCATACCTGTGTCTTATGCTGAATATCCTAACAAGTTGCTGAATATTCTAAGATTGCCCAAATCATTGATATATTTTTTTTTACAATTAACTCCCCGAGACGTAAGACATGTAAATCATGAGCATTCCAGAAAAATTACCCCCTCTTCCTAAATAAAATAACAGATTGGACAGTTCATTTATGAAGACGTAAAGTCTAACTTACTTGAAGAATAAGCTACAATAGGCTGAACTTCTCTGATGGACAAAGCAGTCTCTCCATTTTCTTGTTGCTTGCAGCATGATATACAGCATGCTAAACAAAAGGTTAACCCGACCACAAGTGCAATTGCTATTCCGAATGTGCCACCAGATGACCTTGTGATAAAATGATGAAAAAAAAAACATTTATGTGTTTTTTGGTCAAACTTCAACTGTTGAATATTATATTTAAATGGTGAGGCATTATTATGTTGAAATATATTAAATAAAGATACATTGTATATATACACAACACTTTTACCTTTAAATGATATGATTCTTTTCCATTATTATTATTATCATTATCTAATCTTTAACTGAACAAAATATTACTTAAAATATCTATAGGAAACACATCTTTTCATTTTAACTCCTTGAAAATGCAGTCTTGTCACATGTACATCATATTTAATTCTTACTATTACAAATTAAGTGTCTATTCAGACAACTTCGTATGTTTAATGTTCTTGTAACAAAAATTTTCATTACATTAATTATAAAGACAAACATATAGTTACAAGTATTATAAAAGGATGAAATTTGCTCACTTTGTCAAATGTTAAAATGACATCATGTGCCTCCTGTTTACTGTAATTACAGGTAATTTACTAGGAAATTGTGACAAAATAAGTATTTGTATTTATTTCTTTATTTAATTATATATATATATATATATATATATATATATATATATATATATATATATATATATATATATATATATATATATATATATATATATATATATATATATATATACATGATGTATACTTACATCTCATAGTTGTCATCATATATACATGTATACTTACATCTCATAGTTGTCATCTGTATTCCTGTAATTATAATTATCATAATATTCATAGTAATTTTTGTAGGTTTTGTTTTCACAACAGCTGCTTCCACAACAGTATTGTTCAGTGTAACAGTAAAATGTGTCAATTCTACTTTTGTAAATAGAACGGGGGAAAGACGAATTTTTGTTTTCCAGTAGCATACGGCTCCAGTCCACGGATTTCTTATAATAGATACAAACTTCAGCATGTACGGGAACTGAAAAGAAAATAAATATGAAATTAATGTAAGGTACAGAAAGCACTTACTTGCACGGATCTATTTGCAGAGTTATTACATGTATATACTAAAGCAACTAAAAGTAACCTTTGACCCTCCCTAGAAAACGTGGAACCCCTCTCCCCCTTGTTAAGATGGTAGGAAAAGTCATAATAAAAAGCTTAGGAAAGAAGTTTTTCACATTTGGGATAGGGTTTTTTTAATTCTTTTTTTTTCGCTTGTCAAGAAATTTCTGGATTGGAATTTTTTTTCTCGCCCCCCCCCCCCCCCCCCGTGAAAAAAATTCCTGAATTCGCGCCTGACTAAGTCCATAGCTCAATATTGGAATAAAGGAGATTTTTGTCATGCCAATCCACCATGTATGCAGCAATTGATCTTTGGACTTCAATGCAATAAACATTGTCTTACTAATTATTCAAGTAAAGATTACACTCTGTAATTGCCATTGACTGATTCATACGATGGCCAACTGCGGCAGCCACATTACTAAATTTAGTAATTGTCTTTTTGTGCATATACAAATTGACAAAATATATATGTACAAAATGCACAAAAACCTTGCTTTTCTGTACATGTGCTTATTGGCAAAATGTACATGTACATACATCAAAACGTTTTATTACCTTCATATGTTTGGTCTCAAATGATTGCATGATTAAAAACATATAACCTACTTGAAAAATCATAAAAAGCACGAGTATTTTATCGGGAAGAACTCATGTCTTTCCAAATGAGTTTAATTAAATTAAATTAAATCTAGAGATGTAATTTCTTCTTCGACAAATAATGCGGCGTATCCCTTTCTTACACTTACGTTAAATTTTGTTATTAAAAAAATTAAATACTTAAATACATGTAACAATTCACAATATTTACTGCAAAAAAGTTAACAGATATTGGAAGGATTTTATGAGTGAAAAGACATCATCATAAATTATGCAATTGGTAAATTATGCTATTGGTTAATTATGCTATTGGTAAGTTATGCTATTGGTTAATTATACTAGTGGTAACTTATGCTTTTGGTAAATTATGCTATTTGTAAATTATGCTATAATTATGCTTTTGGTAAATCAAAAGTTGAAAAAAATATTTGCATTAGGTTAATAAGCTAGGAGTGGGGTTGAGGTTTTCCTTTTATTTTTTTCCCTCAGTTTGTGGACTGCAGACATTTGATTTTATCAATTTGCAAGTTTAAAAATTCGTTAATTCATAGCAATTAATATTTGAATTATTAGTGCACTTATTAAAAGCATCATATCCTTTGTTGTTATATGTAAATATAAAATTTGTCAACTTTGCATAAGTCGCCCGCATGGCGCAGTGGTTATAGCGTCTGCTATAGAGTCGCGAAGTAAGGAGTTGATCCTTACGTCGCGGGTTGGAATCCCACTACGGGACGTGGAGACCGGTCCTTCGGATGAGACCGTATAAACCGAGGTCCAGTGTCGCAGTAGGTGTTGGCACGAAAAAGATCCCTCACTGCACAATGGCCGTAAGTGGCGAGCATAGGTCAGAATTTGTAGCCCTCCACCGGCAAGTGGTGGCGTCTCCATATGAGTGGAAAATTCTCGAGAGGGACGTTAAACAACAATCAATCAATCAATCAACTTGTGCATGTAGAGAAAACAAAAAAGGTTTTGGTGTATTTTATACATGTACATTTTGCCAAATTTTGCATGTGCAAAATGCACAGCATTAGCTATATTTAGATTGTATTGTATCTGCCATCGTAGATCCATGCTTAATTAGTACACTTATACTTTGAATGGAAGAAAATATTAATGCAAAAGAAACATATTAATTATGTAACATGTCACAATCAGATTTAATATAAATTATCATATTAGTTCTAGACTTATTTTTATCATAAGCTAAGAATTAATAACCCGGCCTCGAGACCATAAACTGAGAACAGACTTAAGTCAAACTTTTGATTTTGAATATCTGGTTTTATTTAACATACATACTTAAAAATGTGCAGGTTTGTTTAATATTCCAATGTTAACATATGATGAAAATTTTGTTCTATTATCAAAATCATTTTAAAAGTTATATTGATTTGAAATTTTGACTTAAGTCTGTTCTCAGTTTATGGTCTTGGGGCCCGGTTTTGTGTTGTTATATTCGGAACAATTGCTATTGTCTCCTACTGACGTTAAACTTCTGTATATATATATATATATATATATATATATATATATATATATATATATATATATATATATATATATATATATATATATATATATATATATAGTGCAAGACGGACCATTTTATCGAGCATCTAAAAAGATGTTTGAAAGGTTAAAAAAAATACAAAGTTTTTTTGTTAAATGTATCTATCTCTAATGTTAACTATGAACTTAGTCTTAATTTCTAGAGCCTCAACCCTGAATTTACGGGCCATTAATCTAGCTGACAACTTTTGTGGGAAACTCATTTCTTATTAAAATCCTGCTAACAGTTTCCCTGCTACATGACAAGGAGAAAAAAGAAGGTTATGTATAGCTGTACGTTTCCTGAAGATGACGGTTTTTACTACACTCCTTTGGTCTCTTGTTATTTGCAACGTTTGCTCCCCTTAACCCACATGTACAGTATACTAAAATTAGTTGAAATTGGTTCAGCTTTTCCACAGAAGAAGATGAAACTATTCGACGCCTTGCACACATCGCATGTATGACGACGATAAATTTTAAATCAGATAGCAGAGGGTTACCTGATAAATGATGTTATTATACCTCATTATAATTATTCTACACAACGCGTTATCTGATTGGTTCTAGATTAGCACGTGATCGGGCCATAAAACTTCATATTTCACGGTCTTCGGCATGCTTTCATCATATTTCCCCTCTTCGGATACCTAGTGCATTTTCCCGCAATAGTTATCGTTCGTTGAAAGAAAACTCCCGAGAGTAGTAGACGTCACAATAGCCTGGTTTACGTCACAAAATTAATGATTAGTGATCAGTAACTTTACGTTAAAAATGAAAGTGAATTTGAGAGCGGTGCCGAATTTGAAAGTTTATGTTTATTTCAAAGTTTTTGCTTGTTTCGGTATAATAAACAATTAATTGCATGAATGTTCGGGAAACATGAAGATTTATTCAGCCAAGAAATATCATATTCCCCTCGGGCGAAGCCCTCGGGGCATATGATATTTCTTGGCTGAATAAATCTTCATATTTCCCTCACTATCATGCAATAAATGTATAATATCCAATAACTTATGATATCTACAGCAAAAGACATACTATACCTAATGATACTACAATTATCACCGAAAGTATATAATCAATCACATCTGAGAAAAGTTTGTAGCGATTTAAAGCTTCCATACTACGAACTGATAAACAAACGACGGTTATTTGATTGCTCGATCACTAAATTCCATGCCAAAATAGTCCACTAAATCATCAGCCGTTTCTCCTGTACATAAATTTTTATCATCCTGTCATATTTTTGTTGCCCTTGGTGACCGCTAAGTTGAACTATAACAGTTATATATAAGACCACTCATTGATCGCTGTATTTGGGGGGAAAAATAGCAGATAGTAATGTATTCACAAAAGTAAGGAAGCCCGGACAGAGGAATACCAAATATATAACGATAATATGTGCCTGCAAATCGATTTAAGATACCTTATTCCTTAAAATGTCATACAGGTGTTTAATAAAAATTTTGATGTTGTATATTTTAATCATTTTTATATTCTGAAAAAGTAATAAGATTAAAAAAAAACTTTTTGTATATTTTTTTTCATCAATTGTAGAAATTAAACTTTTTGCTATTATGCCGATAATAAGCAGAAATTTAAAAAATGTGTTAAAGTTTATAAGAATAAAAAGGTTATGGTATTGATCATAATGATTCTACAAGGCCAAAATAAAAAATAGGTTTGTTTCCCCTAACGCGACCGACCCACTTAAAACGTGCCGACTGAAAAGTTTTTTTAATAAGATTATTCAAATATTTATTTTTATTGTTTATCAACTTTATAAAACACAATTTCATCAAAATTCGTTTTTTATCAGAACGGCGGCTTTTGTTTTACACTCATTTGACGCCCACACATGTGGCCACAGAGGGTTATTTAGTGTTATAAAACAACGGCGATGTATCAATCTTAATACACATCTTTAACTTATTAGAATCCTACACTCTTGAAACATTTCGTGAATTAAATATACCATGACTAAGGAGTGTTAAGATGGTATTTACAAATGTGTCTTCTCAAATTAACTTACGTAGTAAGCATGACAAAGCCTGCCTCATGAGCAGAAGAGGGGCCCAAATTGTGTATGCATATCAATAAATTTCACTCCATTTCATTCGTTTCGATCTAAAAAACACTTCATGTATGATTCTATTTTTACTATATAGGACCATAGGACTTGTAAATATATCTTTGTATAATTATTTCATCTTGATGAATATAATTCGGATGTCGTTTCTTCATTCCTTTTATTTATGGGGTAAACTTCGTGACTATAACATTAGATATATGAAACTTTAATCATTTTTGATATGGTTTAGTTGAATTAAATATTGTTTATATAGGTACTCTCTTTTCAAATAGTGTTGAAATCTTTAAAGTTGGCTTATGGTACGGCTTCCTGAGACGTCCAGTGTATTTTTCTTTTCTTTAGTTGGGCCCTTGAAAATAGGTTGTTTCTTTGCTTTAAAATACCTTTTAAAATTGCTGGGTCGACATTTGAACACCTGCCTGGTGGAGGGCTCCTAATTTAGACTTTTTCTCGGCACTTATGGCCATTGATCATAAAGCATCAGTAAAGGATCTTTATCGTGCCAACATCTACATGTATACTGTGACACTGCATGGCCCTACTTTTTTTACGGTCTCATTTGACTGACTAGTTTCCACGCCCCACGTCGGGACCTGTGACTTAGAATAAGCTCCTGAATTACGTCGTGACTTCAAAACGAAACACTAGAATTACTTCGCCGAGCAAGGCCCTTGACATTTTATCTCTGTAAGCACTCGAAGATGATAGTAGGTTTGAAAAAAAATATACTCGGATGGCCGATGATTGAGTATTTGCGAATCTTGTCTTTTTGTAAAAATTCAATTTCAATAAATTTACGCTGGCCTGAGATATTTCACAAGTTCAAATGAATAATATTTGTGAATTAATTTACCATACATGTTGCTTTTAAATTTCATTTGTATGATATTCGGTTTAAAAATTGGTTTCTTTTGTTCTTTCTTATTTATAGAGATATTATTCAATTTTCAGAATGTATTTTCAAAACTGCTGTCAGAAAAAAATAAATAATTCACCTACCTACCTACTCAACTTGAAATTTTAGGGTCGGGTTAGGGGAAACAAAGATATTTTTAATGATGGCCCAATCTACCACATTTTATTCACTCAAGAATATATACATGTACATGCGAATATGTAAAAGTTTCAGAAAAGGTTTGTATGAGGAAAATCCAATCATGCACTTGCGAACATCATGTCAGAGCTAAAACCCCCCTCTCTCTCTCTCTCTCTCTCTCTCTCTCTCTCTCTCTCGATTTTATCCTGCCAATTTAGGTGACTCATCTACTCGGATGAGCCAACCCCCACCCTTTTTAGAAGTTGGTGACTAAGCTATTGAACCAATAAATTTCTCATTTTCCTTTTTTTCCCATCTTATTCAAAAGGTGGGTAAAACGATATTTGGGCAAGTGCTACATTGCCACTGAAATTTTATAAAGAACAACCTATATACAGTACGTGGAAGCTCTGTTCAACATACTGAGTCAATCTGCATTTGACAATTTTGATGCTCAAAGTGAATCGAAAAATATAGCATAAAAGCTAAAATAGTACATGTACAAAAACATCAATGTATAAATGAATCAGCACCAACATTGAGGTAATAAAAGACTCCCTGAGGATGCTTCTATAATAATATGACTAATCACGTCCTTGTTGTTTTTGGGCAGTAGATTTTTTAAGATGATATTTATATATTTTATGTAAAACGTTGACCCTCTGTTGTGCCCCCAACCCGTTGGGGTGGGTGGGTGGGGGGAAGGGGTTATAATTTGAACAAACTTGATTTTGCAATACCTAAGGTTGCTTCTGTATAAATATGACTAATAATGGTCTAGTTGTTCTTGAGAAGAAGATATTTAAAGATATTTCTTATTTACATACCTATGTAAAACTTTAACTCACTGTTGTGGCCCCGCCTTTCCCCCGGAGGTCATAATTTGAACAAACTTGAATCTGCAATACTTGAGGATACTTCTACATGCATATGAATATGACTTATAATGGCTTAGCTGTTCTTGAAAAAAAAATTAATGATATTTCCTATATATTACTATGTAAATCTTTTGCCCCTTGTTGTGTCTGCGCCCAACCCCACAGGAGTCATAATTTGAACAAATTTGAATCTACACTACCTGAGGATACTTCTATATTAATGTGACTAATAATGGCTTAGCTGTTCTTGAGAAGAAGATTTTTAAAGATATTCCTATATATTCCTATGGTAAACTTTGACCCCCTGTTGTGGCCCCGCCCTACCCCCGGGGGTTATGATATGAACAAACTTAAATCTAGAGCATGTAATGAAGCTTTCAGAAAAGTTTCATCAAATTTTCACGATTTTTTAATTATCTCCACTTAAAAGAGGGCGAGGCACTTTCTGTGAACACTTAAATGGTCTCTCTTAAATGGTCATATTTTTAAAAATCTTCTCCAGAACCACTGGGACACACAACCAAACTTGGCACAAAGCATCCTAGGTGAAGGAATTCAAGTTTATTCAAATGAATTACCACGCTATCTTCCAAGGGGAGATAAATATGAATTTGTGAAAATTTGGTGGGGTCATTTAAAAATCTTCTTCTCAACTACCAAGAAAGATGAAACATGTATAAAGCTTTCTGGCATTGTGTAGATTCAAGTTTGCTCAAATATTGGCCCCCGGGGATAGACTATGGCCACAATAAGAGAGTAAAGTTTTTCATCAAAGTATAAACGAAAAATCTCTATAAAATCTTCTTCTCAAGAATAATAAGGTCATGATTAGATAAGCAAGCAATCTCAAGTAGTGTTGCTTTCTGAGGAAGTGCAGATTTTTATTTTTTCAAAGCATGGCACTCAAGGGTAGGGTACAGCCACAATAGGAGCTGAATTTTTACATGGGAATAAATAGGATTTTTTTTTACCTTCTCAAGAACAGCTTGGTCATTATAAGTCCAAATTATTGTGCAAGCATCCTTAGGTAGTGCAGAATCAATTTAACTTTCAGTTCATTGCCCCTAGGGGTAGGATAGGGTCCCAATAGAGGATACACATATTACATTATACGTGATTACATGTATATATGGCAAAAGAGTTTAAAAATCTTCTCAAGAACAAGAGAGTCCAGATTAGTGATATTTATATGCAAGCATTAATGAAATATGGAGATAATGAACAGTATTCGAGCTCAAGGTCCATTAAAACAATACAAATCGGGAGCAGATTAAACACGGACCTCCAAAAACATCAGAGATGGTATCAGGTGCCATGGAGGAGTGAGAATCCCCTGCAGACCAGTCACACCGTCAAGATCGGGAAACAATGGAAAAACCCATCGACAAACCAGTGTGCAAACAATAGCCCAACAATAAGTATGAAAAACGTCAGTCAGCACATGACTAAATGATAGATTGCACCTGCTACATGTAACAAGGTCATTGTATCGACCGTGGAACTTACAAAATGATGACTCTAAACGAGACTGCCGATGTTCTTGTTTCATTAACTTGTTTGTCAACAACTTACCTAGTCTAAGAAATTGTTCACACGTAGAGCATGCTCTTGCGTATCGAATCAACCGATAGACACACACCAGACGCAGGCGACAAGGGCATATTGCTGCAGTAATAAGGGAAGTAGACGATTGAAAAGTTAAAGTCATCACGTTAACATAAAGCTTTGTTGTTAGATTACCATCAACGTCTCCTTCCAGCAAAACACCCAAATACGAAAAAGATGTGTCAGCCTCTGCGGTATCCTGTACCTCAAGCCCACTGGGACACATCGTATTGACAATTGAATGGAAATAACTATTGTCAACTGATAACACGCCGTCGATATATCCAAATGTTGAGTCAAAGGCCACAGCAAGAGATCTCCCCCTCTTATGCACAAGACATTGAACAAATTCTGTCTCATATGAATACAAAAATAGGTCTGCAAACAACGGGGCGGAATTGGTACACAAGGGAATTCCAATAGACTGTTGGAAGACCCGGTCTCCAAAAACCACATAGATATTGTCAATCAGAAACCCAAGCACCCTTTCAACACCAACCTCAGAGCACCTATGCGCACAAACAAAACGTTTTTTAACAAAATAATTTTGCAAATGACCAATGACAGGGCATGTAAACTCACGAGTTTCGTCTTTACCGAAAAAGCAGCTTCCAACGATGTCAAAAAGCCTGGACTTGGGGAATGGTTGTATACAGAGTTGAAAAGTCGTAAGTTTTTATGTTATTGACTTTGGTAGAATTTTGCGATTTCAAATTTTCCAAAAGATCCTTGGAATTTTTAAGTATCCACATCTAATTCATATCATTCCTCGAATATATTTTTGCACAGTATTCCTGAAGTTTCTCCTTCACTGCTGTTTATATTTTAGTGAGGAGTAATCTCATGTATTGCAGATTCAAGGTTGCTCAAATATTGACAAATAATGATCCTTAGCGGCAGGTTGGGACCATGGTAAAGGATCAAAGTTTTGAATAGGAATATACAGTAAAACATCCTTATAATGAAAAAGTAATTTGTTATATCCTTTAGGTTTACAATATATATTAAAGTCACAGGGAATAAAAATCACTTCGCTGTAAGCATCAATAATAAATGTGTTCACTATAAGCATGTTTTACTGTACATGTATAAGGGGAAAAATTAAATATCCTCTCAAAAACCGCAGGCCCATGAAAAATGATATAATTGTTGTGCAAGCATTTTTGGATAGTGTAGATCATGCCCTCCCCTTCCTAAAAAACAGGGTGGGGCCAAAGTAAGGGATCAAAATCTTACAAGGAAATATGGAGAAAAAAATTTAAAATATTCTTGTCTAAAAGATTTAATTCTAATTCTTACATGTATCATTTGTATCTATCATGTGTAAATATTTACAGTTTTAATTGTACATTTAATACATGTATGTAAAAATATGCATTTAGTCAAATAGATCAGTTCCAGTTTCAGTGAAAAAGCAGACACATGCTTAATTTATGGAACTTATATGCAATTATCCTGAAGTAGTGCAAAATCAAATTTGCTCATATCAGGGCCCTAGGGCTTGGGGCCAGGGTGGGCCACGATAAGGAATTAAGTTTAACATGGCAATATATATGTATCTATTAATAGGAAAAATCAAGAAAAATCTTTTTTTAAGAAAAGCAGGGTTTTTATTGATCTTATTCATATAAAATGTCCTCAGGAAGAGGAGATCAAGAGATCTGAATCAGGCTTCCCATTATTGGGGTTATCAAAATTCAAAAGTTTGCTTTGGAATATATAGGGATAAAAAAAAATCTTTAGAAAATCTTTTAAGGTGGTTTGATCCTGAGCCTTTGAGCATATTTTGGTCTGGACCTTTATTTCTAAAATTCTGCATCATTTTTAAGTTCTAACATTAAATCTGGATTCTACAATGCAAATTAAACTATATCCAATGAAAAAACCGCGATTAAATTCCATTCAAATAGGATTAAGCTAGGAACTATATTATGTGGCGGAAGGTTTTTTTAGAAGAAAATGATCAATTTTTCCCTTTTGAAGTATATACAGTACTGCTAAGTTCAAATTCCTATTTTTCCATGCTGGTTGCACACAGAGCTGTTTTTTTGCAGTGAAATGTTTTATTCTGGTTCTGAAATATCTATTAAGTTATTTCTCATGAATTCTTTCATTATATTGTGACAAATATAGGAAATATATTCTGAAAGTCCAGGAAAAAATGAGCCAATTTTAACATAAAATTAACACTTTTTTTGTTATATCTAAAAATTTACATCATAGACCCCCACTTTTGTTTTTCTTTTCTGAATATATAAGATAACTTTGATCAATCTGCTTAAATTCAGCAAAAGTTTAAGACTTTAAAATAATTTTTTTGCTTGTTAAATTTTTAATGCCAGAAAAATCACATTTTGTGAGTGCAGAAAGGTCAAATAATTGATTATGCGAAGCAATTTGCAATTTTTTTTAGTCACAATTTCAATGTGTCTTTTTTTAAATAAACTAATAGTTTATTTTGTCCCATGCTTTATTTGGATAAAAACATTGGAGGGAAAAACATCGAAGAGGTGATTTTTGATTAAGACACAAATTTCAGTACAAAAAGGTCATATTAAATGTACTGTAGCGCCAAAAGAAGCATATTGACCCCCATTTTTTGTTTTGATTTTTAATTAAGCTATGTGTGTAGAAACTAAAAATATACTTGACAAAAAAAGTTTAAGACTTTAAACATCAGGATCCAACCTCGTTAAAACTTTATTTTTCAGAACTACTGTGGCATAATTAATCATAATATTAATACAAAAAATCCTCAGGTAATTCAGATTTAAGTTTGTTCAAGTCATGGCAGCCCCAGTGGCCTCAATATGGAGTCAAAACTTTTATAGAAACAAAGAAGGAAAAAAATATAACAATTTTTTTCAAGATAAGTAGGGTCAATAAGACTCAGGTGAGCATCTTAACCCATGGACCTTTTGTACCTGTGTATCTTAACTTCAACATCTTAATTCTCTGATATCTCTAAGTAACTTTTTGGCTCTATCAAGTTTGTGATAATGAAGTTTGACTGTACATGTAATTTACCTTGCCCTTTCACATAATAAAACAAAATATTAAATGACACAAAAAATTGTTCAGAGGTCACAGAAGATTGACTCAAAAGAAGACTCATGACATAATGAAGATATATCCATAGATTTTGTCAGTATGGCTATCATTGATAAAAATTAAACAAAACTATGTTATGAACATGATGAAGACAGATACATGTAACCCCAGGGCAAAACATGTTACAAGTAGATCTTGTAAAAGGACCCCGTCCCAAATGAAAATTGTCTTTTTTCCCCAAAAATTTAAGGTAGGAATCCCAAATGACAAGCAAATTTTACTTTTTAGTGCATCTGATACTGTATGTGTACATAAAAAAGCGGGCTTCATATTTTAGCAGCTTTGGCGTGGACAACGATGCATAATTCATGAATACTGCTAATTAATAATTTATAAATACAATATATGGCGCGTTTGTGTGTAGTGCTAATTCATGAATATGCCAACAACTCAATACCCAGTGATTGTGCTAAATTTTGAATACACCAAATTATGTACACGTACAGTATTTCAGGTGACAAGTTTAAAATGAGGTGAATTGAGGATAAGCTAACAATTTAACTGCATGTCTTTTTTTTCCAGTAAATCTTGACACTTTTTCAATTTTATAGGGTATTTGTGGCAAAAGAGAAATTTGTGCCAAAATGAGTCAATTATACCCTTAAACTGGAACATAATCATGATAATGGCATGAAACTTCAAAAGTAGAGTATAGCTAACTATAAGTAAAGTTGTATTTAGCTTTATTGAATTGGTTACCTAAACCTTTGGCACAACAGTCAAACCTATTCTTTGAATTTACATAGTTGATTTACTTTTCTTAAATTAAAGTATCTTTAATTGTGTGAAATATAATTTACATATTCTTCATCCAACTTTTTCTAAAATAAGTGCAATAACCAGTGCTGCAAATAATACTTGACAGCCAAACATCATCAAGTTCATTTTACTTTTAGTAGACTCTTTAGAATACTTTCTATCTCTGTCCCAAATGTCCTTCCATATATTGTCAAGTCTACCACTTTTCTCTTCTGTGAAATTCGGATCCATGTACATATGTTCTTCAAAATGTCTTCGACGCTTTTCGTCCTCTATCCTCCTCCATTCCGAGAACAATTCCTCCTCGTCGATCAGGTTTTTCTTATAAGCTCTGTGAACTTGTTCAAATGTTGCACGATCAGTGTCCTTTTCTTCGCGTTTCTGTGTAGGGCGTTGTTTCTTTAGTCTAGAGACTAGTGAATTACTGTCATACTGCTTTCGCTCATTCACGCTTCCCAACACTGCATACGCTTCTGTTATTTCCTGGAAAATGCGTTTTGCATCTTCGCTCTGGTTGACGTCGGGGTGGTATGTTTTAGATAACTTTAAGTATGCTTCTTTAACTTCTTGTGCAGATGCATCAAATTCAATATTTAATATTTTGTAGTAGTTTTTGAAGGGGACGTTTGAAAAGTTAAATATGCACGTAAACTTCACTTTCGAGCGAAAATTATGAAGATTTGACGCAATACCCTTCCTAAGACAATGAATCATCATTTTTTATTATCGTGTCCTGTGCACTATACACAAATGAAACGAAAATATCACCTCTCCAGTTTAGGTAATCATAATCATGTCGATGTTGGGCCAAAATAATCAACGTCGTTTCAAAACGTCTTGATTCTCAATTTATCTTGTGTTGTGTAAAGCGTTCCTTTAACCTGCGAACATTGAGTAGAGAGGTGTCTAGCTGATTCGACCTTATACTTTTCAAGCCCGATTTTCAACCTGAAAGACATTTCATTTGGGGTTTTCTATCTTCCAGGAGGGACTCCAAGGATCGAGGATATGCTTTTATTTTCGAAATGGGAATATGTAGGAGACAAATAAATGTAATTTTGAAATTCGAGAAAGAGCCACAATTTTTTTTCATCCAAAAGCAAATAATTAAAACACGATTATGTTTCTAGTTTAGTTTCTTCAGGGAAAAGGTTTAAGACTGTCAACTTAGTAAACTTCCAAGTTAAGCTGCAATGAACATGGATTTAAAATAAAACAGAACTATAATTTTGCTATTCCCATTTAGCCCAGTACCTTCTGGGATCTAATCTTCTCAGTCTGACCTTTGGACTATTTTTTGTGTCCTTATTTAGTTTCATTACATAATAGGGCAAGGCAAATGCACATGCCAGGTCAAATCATTATCACAAACTTGATAGAACCAAAAAATGACTTTGAGATATCAGAGGATTAAGATGTTGAAGTTAAGATACACAGGTACAAAAGGCCTATGGGTTAAGGTGGTATGGGATACCAAACGAAACTTCTCCTACATATTTATGTACCCATATTAGAAGGATTTGAAATACGCCCACCTTTCAGTATATTAAAGTGTAATTTTAATAATTTTTTTATTATTTTAATGAGAAATACAAAAACGATTTTTTTTCTTGCATAATTCTTTTTTCATAAGCTTAATATTATAGGCAGGCGTTTGCTAATATAAAGTGTTTATAAAAACAAAAATGACAAGAAATATGTCTTAGTATTTTTTTTAATTTTCAACAAAAAATAAGCGTAAAAAACTGGGAAAACTTTATTTCTTGAAAACAGACGGATAACATTTCATGAAAGTCTACAATAAGAATGTATCTTAACATGTTAGCAAAGTGAAATAAACAAATTGAAAATATATATATAAATGGAAAATATAAAATGCATTTAAAATTTTTTTAATTAAAAGATCCGAGCGGAAGAGTTATCCTTCTTTATTTTCCAAGGGTTGAAAAAACCTGGGTGCTATTTTAGAAATGATGAGCATTTTTTTCCCAACCATAAAAAAATCGCACTTTGTAGTTTTCAACTTTGAACGGTTTTGAAAACAATGCATGGACAATTGCTTTCCAGGACGTGTCTTGTTCAGAACAATTGCATTCATCTGAACGTTTTGGGACTACATATGTATATACAACAGCTAGCTGATTTGTGACCAAACAGTTACTTCTTGAATTAAATAACAAAAAAGTCCAGCTCTGGTTAACGTGATAATTGATTGGTGATAATTCAGCACAATGTGAAGTAATCGCACTTATCCATGCCTCACCGCACACAAGGTGCTGTACAGTTACTCAAACAATTGAAATACAGCTTTTGCTTAAAAGTGTTCAAAAGCAGCAATGTTGAAACTACCTTTTACAGGGGTTTGCTTTTTTAAATGTCCGTTGTACAATTATAAGTAAATTTATATACTTGCGATTTTTTTGTCTGTTTTTACTTAAAATGCCGACTTGTGAGAACTTGCATTGAAATAGGCTTCAGAGTGTTCTTTTCAACGGTGTATCTACAAATTTTGACCCGATAATAAGCACTCATGCAAATCAAAACAATACTTCAAACGGAAATACGTCATAACGTAGAGGTATCCCATACTACCTTAAGATGCTCACCTGAGTCACATTGTCCGAAAAAAAATAAAATATTTTTTTCTCCTCTATGTTCCTATATTAAAATTCTTTGACCCCATATTATGGAACCACCCTACCCACTGGGACCATGATTTAAACAAAGTTAAATCTGAATGACATGAGAATTTTTTTGTGTGTATTAATATTAATGAATATCAAATAATAATCATTTTTAAAGCATTTTCCCCCCTGTTAACGTTTTTTGTAACACCAAATGTCAATATACATTGTAGATCGTAAAAATATATATTTGAGAAGAATGCAAAAAAAAAAAATAAATAAGTATGACTTTGAGATAAATATGATTTAGCAATAATAAAGTCTGTATACAAACTGTTTTACAAACTTCTATCTATATAGCTTATTTTATGTAGCATACCTTCTAAAAAAAATCTCTGTAGGTAGATTTTTTGTTTTAATTTTGCGAGGGGTATCATTCTTATACTTGTTTAACATTTATGGTTAACTAACAAGTAAGATATGATGAAAATTTTGAATTTATTGGGTGGAGGTTAATGCAAAAATTACATGATAAAGGACTGAAAATTTGTATATCTTGGATCCAATCTGTATAATAAATGCAGACATGGGGTTTCACCGGTTTCACTCACAAAACATGAACCACATCACAATTAAAAGATTTTTTTCTAAAATTCGCATTCCACTTTTTCCTTGTTGGAATTAATTGTGCCAGGTTTACAGAATGGGTTTTTTTTTTTCGCTTATCTGCTCCTTCGAAACAATAATTCTTAAAAATTCTCAGCAAACTCAAACCAAAAAAGCTTGATCTCAAAAAAAATAATATGGTAGATGCTATATTTTCTTTAGAGAAGTGGACAAGCAAAGCCTACATCAACGTTCATGTAGATGTGGGGTTGTGCTGGTCGACTAGTACTTCTCTAAAAAGAAACGGCACAAGTCAAGAACTGAGGGGATTAAGAGAGGCATGGTCCATCCCCTAAAGTCACACCAAAACATTCTTGAACTTTGTGCCCGCCACTATCTAGTAAATACACTAAATTCGGCCCTGAATCCAATTTACTGCTTCAATTGATTTTTATTTCACCTACCCCTCCTCCGCCTTAGTAGGTTGTTTCAAAAATATAATTTTCACAATGAATGATTATACTAATATAGAATTCACATGAAAGCCACAAACTCATTCACCAATTTTACTGATTGGTGTAGTACGCAAATCCTCGGCCCTTAAGCAACATTGAAGGTTTTTGTATAAATATACCATCTACACCTATATACTTGTACAATAGATTTGATTATCTCTCTTGTAACATGCAAAGAGACTACACGGAGCTCATGTTTCTACCTGTGGTAATCTGCATTTTTCTTTGTGTATAATCCTTCAAATTTAATTGGATAGTAACCAAACCCCATTTTCTGAACTTGTTGTAAACTTTTGGTGTGATTTTATAATCATTTCTTCAAGAAGAAAAAAAATAAGGAAAATTAATTTGACAAGGTCGGATCCTTTTCAAATTCTCTTACATTCAATGTACACCTTTATATCTTATTTCATTGAAATCTATTCCTCCACTGGCATGGCCTCTTGAAGAGGTTTTTTGCAGACTTCGTAGACAGACGCAAAGACATCGTACTAGTATATACAACATGTATCTAGCTTCTATTCATTTTCGTTGATTGAGGCTAAAACATATGAAGGGCCGGTTATATTCTAAATACAATACAATTAATGGAAAATAAATCAATAAATTCGCAAAGTAAATTTAATAGTTTTGAAATTTAACCTACGTTTGATGAGCATTGCAGACAGTTTAGTTTGCGCCATATTTTTTTTAAAAATACAAAATATCATATATGAAAAAATATTCATATAATCAGATCTGCACTACCTTGATCAAATTGCATGCATTGTTTTGACAGATCATGCTTTGAATAAATAAACACTGGAAAATGATACCAGTTTTGATCATTCATGAATTAACTTTTTATGCACTTTTCACTATGTTAACCATGTATGGTGCCGACACGATTAGCTTGTAATTTTTTTATCGTCGATGTTCTAACAACATTTCGTCGTCTAGGCTTTCCGTTTTTTTTTCTTTTTGATGTACATCATCATGCATGTGTGTGTTTTAGATATTTCTTCCAGGCTAATTCTAGAAGGAAAATATGGAAATGAAAGACTAGGTATGTTTGTTTATATGCCTAACCCTGTTTCTCGTTTCCGAATCAATAGTTTAAATGCAGTTGTAAATGATGAACGTACCTTGTTTTTTGTATTTTTTTATATTGCAATGTGTATACTTTTGTAAATGCATGTACATGTACATGTATCTATAAATTTGTTTTTTGATTATATATTACATCTGTAAATTTATGTTTTCAAAGTCTTTTCTGTGTAACGCTGATTTTGAACAATGCAGAAATTATTATTAACAAGAATTCTGAGAGTATTACATTAGCAATACTAGTCCCCTACCGGCAAGTGTAATCTGAATCCCGTTAAAAATTGAAAATGCCATGATTCCGTCAAAAATCAATGAAGTGGAACGAAATGCAAACTTGATCTATAACTCATCAAGGTAAAGTCACCTACCAAAAATCAGCTCAATATCTGCAAGCGTTTAGAAAAAAAGTGCGGAAGACCAAGTGGGACAGACTGACAGACGGGCAGACAGACAGCTAGACAGACAGACGGACGGACAGACTCAGAGGAAACCTGTTGTCCCCTCCGGTTTCACCGGTAGGGGACTTATAACAAAATGTACTGCGGGTTTTTTTTATTTACTGAAAATATCGCCGGTTAGAATTGGTAAGTAAGCCGACTCCTGCATATATAAAAATATAGTATGGGAGTTTATAATTCAAAACGACATTTTTAAGACGTTTGCGCAGGTCGATTAAGGTCAAAATACCATGTGATATATAAGACTTAACGGACTATATAGATGGAGCTAGAAAAGTATATCTTAGACATTACAGTCTTGTCTTAATAAATTCGACCAGAAACCTCAGTCGGAATACCAATTATATTGTTTTCCGTCAACTGGAAGACTTGACGGAAAAGACCGAATGATGTTGCGATTGGAAGAAATCTCTCGTGTAACAATATCTTACCGGCACCCCTCCCCTTTGCATTCATAGCATTTTTTTTCTGGAAAAATATTGTAAATCATAACCTTCGGCGTAATTTAAAGGAAAACACAAGTATGTAGCATTACTTCCTTATGGGATCAACATCATTTTAAAACATTGAAATAAAAAGTGAAAACTTTTCCTTTACACTTGAATGGCTGACATCAAACTGATCTTATGAAGATACAATCTTCTCTTACCAGCATTCAGACATGATTCAATGCGCATCCTGTCATTTCATAAAAACGGATACGTTAATAGAGAAGATAAGTACAATTTGAACATAGTTCGTGTACTAACAGTCTGAAAAGTAAGTTAAATTACTTTTTCCCATTTTCTTTTTTTTTTATTTATTTACAATTATTTCAGTTTTGCTTTTGAATTTTAATGTAATGTTAAACACATCGATTATATTTTTGAGCTGTAGTAAGTAAACACTTTACTATACGTAAATATGGAGATTAATAATGAAATTGCAGAGTACTTATATATATATATATATATATATATATATATATATATATATATATATATATATATATATATATATATATATATATATATATATATATATTTTCATTACTTATAAAAACAACAACAACAAAATATGTGCAGGTTTCTACGAATTCACACTGCGTTATACACAAATCTACATGTACTCAATTTAAAGTTATAGAAAAACTAATACTAGTAATACATCAATTTTCAGTATCATTTATTCGAAAGTGAATTTAAATTGCATAAATATATACCAATTGTCATTCTTATATTAATGCAAATTTTTAAGCTCTCTCTCTCTCTCTCTCTCTCTCTCTCTCTCTCTCTCTCTCTCTCTGACAACCTACAACACATCTATAGTATAGGATTGTTTCCAGTTACCCCACACAAGGCAGGAAATTACCTCATGTGCTTATTCATTACCTACAAGAGATGCTTGACTCATTGTAATCCTCTTATGGCTTTAAGATCATTGCCCCCCATTCACATTCGCTAACTCTTACATGTATACACGCCATAACATCTAAGAAACATATTTCATTGAATTACATGACTTTTATACAACATGTCTGTTTGGCACTTCACCTATAGCCGAAGTCTGCGTCATTTTCACGTAAAAAATTCATTTGACATTTTGTGCAGATGTTGTATCTGGCCCTTAGCAACAGTTTTAAAAGTGTGTGTGTGTGGGGGGGGGGGGGGGCAACTTCCCAAGATTATCTGACAAGCAAAAAAAACTAATTTATTGTCCAAATCCTGGAATTGGCAAGTGCTCAATCTTACAACATCAAAAAGTGGGGGCCAACCGACATCTAATGGAAAATTTACTATAGCAAAATACTGTACTCAGAAAAAAAGGGGGACAGGCCCCCTGCCCCCCCCCCCCGCGTTCTACGGGCCTGGGTATTTCTGACCTATTCGATGTTAACTATATAGTTAAAGATCGTTATTACATTCCATTGGTGCGGCAATGCAGAACTACCTTTGCTGGACTGAAGCCTAACTTTAAAGCAATGGTCTGGCTCTATTGTTCAATGGAAATCAAGTTTTTTTATCGAAAGAAAAAAAATTCGATTGCAAAATTTTCATGCAGTTAATATAAACTCAATGAAATAACTAATTATCCATGCAATATCGTAGGTTCATAGCAAACATGTATAAATGTAGGTCTAAATAAGACACATCGCCCATATAGAATCGTTTTGATATACATGTATTTATAAGTAAAAAAAACTGGCCGGACATAAAGATTCCTAATGTGGGGACAGAGAAAAATATGAAGAAACAAGATGTGTTTGTGAAACACTGATGCCCTCTTGTGGCAACTTATAGCAAAGATTAAACTTTCTCAAATGCAAATCAAATTTGTTGGTACCCAAGGTAAGGTCTTGTCTCGAGGAATATACCTGTGAAATATGAAAGCCCTAACAGCAACCATTGAATAGATATGGAAAAGGTTAACGTTTTTCAAAAGTAAGTCAAACATCAAGGTCAAGGTCAAATGGTAAAAAATAATGGTGCCTAAGGAAAGGCCTTCTCACAAGAAATATACTTGTGAAATATAAAAAATGAAGCACCAATCGTTCAAAAGTTATGACCAAGGTTTAAGTTTTCCAAAAGTAGGTCAAACTTCAAGGTCAAGGTCAATGGGTTACAATTGCTGGTATCCAAAGGAAGGTCTTGTCACAAGGATTACATATGTGAAGTATGGAATCCCTAGCACCTACGGTTCACAAGTTTTGGCCAAGGTTAAAGTTTTCCAAAAGTAGGTCAAACTCCAAGGTTAAGGTCAAAGGTCAAAGTTGTTGGTATCCAAAGGAAGGACTTGTCACAAGGATTACATATGTTAAGTATGAAAGCCCTAGCTCCAACGGTTAACAAGTTATGGCCAAGGTTAATGTTTTTCAAAAGTAGGTCAAACTCCAAGGTTAAGGTCAAATAGTCAAAGTTGTTGGTATCCAAAGGAAGGACTTGTCACAAGGATTATATATGTAAAGTATGAAAGCCCTAGCACCAATTGTTCAAAAGTTATGGCCAATGTTAAAGTTTTTCAAAAGTAGGTCAAACACCAAGGTCAAAGGGTCAAAGTTGTTGGTATCCAAAGGAAGGTCTTGTCACAACGATTACACATGTGAGGTATGAAAGCCTTAGCACCAACCGTTCAAAAGCTATGGCCAATGTTAAAGTTTTTCAAAAGTAGGTCAAACTCCAAGGTCAAGGACAAAAGGTCAAAGTTGTTGGTATCCAAAGGAAGGTCTTGTCACAACAATTACACATGTGAAGTATGAAAGCTCTAGCTCCAATTGTTCAAAAGATATGGCCAAGGTTAAAGTTGGGTAAAATTTTGTAAAATTAGGTCAAACTCCAAGGTCAAGGTCAAAAGGTCAAATATGGTGGTACCCAGAGAAAGGTCTTGTCACAAGGAATACACATGTGAAATATGAAAGCCATAGCTCCAACCAATCAAAAGTAATGGGCAATGTTTAAAGTTTTTGCGGACAAAACAGATAAACAGACAGACAGACGGACGGACAGGGCAAAAACTATATACCCCCGAATCTTCGGTACGGGGGCATAAAAAACAAACATCGACTGGACGACTTTTAGAAAAATAAAAATCAATATTTTATTAGTTCAATGCAAATCAGTAAGCCTCGTCTCCTTAAAATCATGTGTTGCATTCTTCTTAACATTTTATTCATTAAAATACTGTTGAACAATTTTAAAATAATCATTACAGTGAAAGTTTCCATTTACTGAGTTTCTTATACATGTAACATTACAAACAAATAATTGAAACAGCTACTAGTGCGATTTTTATGGAGTTAAATGGATTCTCTCTCTCTCTCTCTCTCTCTCTCTCTCTCTCTCTCTCTCTCTCTCTCTCATTTTTACATATTACATACATGTATATACTCCCATTGGCACGAAGATGTAAATTTGTTTATTTTTTATTGATAATCTTATCATATATGCATACATGAATGTATCTATCTGTCGTAAGAATTTCTAACATATAGAATTACGTAAAATTTCCCATGTTTAATTATTATCATTACATGTCATAATACTGTGCATAGTGATGTTATAAGGTACCTGAAAAACGTATTGGCCACACCCAGAGAATTATCAATGCATGCAGTATATCATAAAAATATGTTATCATGGAAATGTTTCTGCTGATCGATTTTTCACCAAGGTTCATGAAAAGAAAATATATCTCATCGAATAATTTTTAACAAAAAATTGTCGCTGTTTTGAAAAATATCATGGTTTAACGAGTTCAAAACATGAAAGTAAACGACATGTCTCAGCCAGACGTATAATATATTTCATGTCAATATAGTATTTATGAAAACATGCATCGGATTCTCAACTGAATTAATATATATATTTCATAATTTCATATCATACATGTGGTGTTTAATATAAATTCCTCATGGAAGAAGTGTCATTGACGTAGGCGATGTATTAATCCGCGTCATGCAATATCTAAAAGGGTTCTTCACTTGTATTCCTAACGTGTGTACTTTCATTTCAGAACTAGAATAGACAACATGGGCAGCTTTATCGGCCATGCTTACCCAGGGTCCATTTTCCTGCTTCTGTCCCTTTGGTGGACTGTACAAATGTTGCAGAGGTACTTCCGGTGCAAAAAGTTCGGTACGGAGTACATTGCAACCGTGATGCATAAAAGTTATTCCTTTCCGAAAGTTCCAATTGAACCAATTATCAAGATATCTCTCATCATGTTTGGAATCGTTGGCGAAATCATCCAAGGACATCTAAATAACGAGTTTGCACCCAAAAACTGGCACCATGCAACGATGTTTATGTTTTTCGGACTCTCCGGCTTGATAGATATGTTAGTTCACTATGATTTCAAGCTTCCCAAAAACGTAGACTATGCAATTTTTAATCTTTCTATTGCCGTTGAAGGATTTTTATTTTTCTGGCACGTGCACGGTAGAGAACCAGTTGATGTGTGCGTGCACAAACTGTTGGTGTTCGCCATTTTTCTTGCATTTTGCGCCTCCATGGCAGAAATGTGCTTTCCTTACAGCATTTTAGCGTCGCTAGCACGACCATTTTTCTTTTTCCTAAAAGGAACATGGTTTTGGCAGATCGCTTTTACCCTGTACGGTCCATTTCCGGTAGCTAGCGGTGATAACCACGATCAGATGATGATAGCTGTTTATTTCACCTGGCATATAGCCGTTATATTCCTCTGTATGTTTGCATTAGGTATCGTGGTTTTCTCTTTGCACAACCATGGAAACGGATATACCAGAGTGTCATGTAACGAAGAAAAAGTCAGTCTTGTAGAAAAAGACAATGTAGAGAAGAATAGCACAGAGATTTGATGATTTGAAACCTATATTTCTGAACTCTTGCTTAGTTTATATTGTCATATGGATTAAAGTACAATGTAATTATGAAATATTTGTTTATGCAAGGTTTGTGTATTTGGCTATTGAATGTTCACTGTAACCCTGTAAATCTGCTCACTATTGTCTGTATTTAGTATAATGTATATATACTAGTACATACTGCATTTACATTTAAATCTTGTGTATTGTCCTTTAAGGTACCGGTAGGTTCAATTCAGGTTAAATACGTGTCAGAAATCTTATACGTTCATTGATTTCATTGTTTTGTAACTATGTCTGTGTAATCTTAGACGTATCTTGTAAGAAGGTTTTTGTAATGAACCATATTATAATTTTTTTTTTTTACTTATGATCAAATTATGTGTTTTCATAATTATACTGCTTTGTTTCTCAAATGTATCTACATGGAAACAGATCATATCATTTTTTTATTGTTTTTTTTTAATTTAAACAAAATTAGTCTTTATGTTTAAAAATAAAAGGGTTTTTTTTCCAATCTACTGGATACTATTGCAGAACCACCCAGAAACATTATTTGCTTGTTATGTTTTCTTTGAGAGTCAAGTGTCATTAGAAGCGGGAAAAAGTCACTTTACCAACCTTCGAAAAATGTTTAGGGTTTGCTCAAGTTAAGGTAATAAGAAAATACCGATATTTTCGTAAATTTGCTTGTTACCATTGTTGGTGTATGCTTTTATGCACCCTGGTATGTTCTGATGAATTTTCAATATTTTGAGATTAATTCAAATATGGACAGCGATGTAGCTTAACTCACTGAGACACATAGTAGGACATTTTATAGAGCCTTCCACTGCTGGGGTGCCTATTACGGTGAGGGTCAATAAACAAAAAGCCCCCCCCCCCCTTACGATGTTCTTGTCCTTCCCCAAAATCGGGAACATATACATGCATAGGTATTTAATCTTGACAATTAAGTTAACCGAGCGATTGGTCATTTTAATGTGAAGATGTGATATTTTTGCGAGTATTTGATAACTTCATATGCACTCTAGGTAAATTTGATGAGTTTTTTTTACAAATACGTCATTAACAGTTGAAGTGTAGTACAAAATTCCACCCACTAACGTTTAAGCAAGTAAATATTCAATAAGTCTTGCACCAGGTTTTAATACATGTTAATTAATTAGCCCAGTCTAATTTTATTTGAAGTAAATATCAGGAAAAATAATTTCGGCACTTGTTTTTCATAAATCATATTTATGAGACTTCTTTATCTAGTATACCATACGCAAAAATTGGGGGGGGGGGGGCAAAATCATCGTTCCATAAAATATCACCCTCTAAACATAAGAATAGTATGCTCGAAATTTTTTTTTTTATTTTATTTTATTTATTTTTTTTTTTTGGAAGGATTATCTCCTTCGAAAGACGCAGTACTTTAGAAATAAGTTTTATACTGACAATAAAAAATATTTAATAAACAGACTTCTCCCATCTGATGATTCAGAACGTGTCACAATATTGGTCATATCATGCAAAGTAATGCATTAAATTTGAAATGTTTCCCTTAAATCAATATCTGGGTGTACACTGTTCTTGGTGTATGTGTCTGTATATTTATAACCTTGACTGTTAATTTTATACCAATCATGTCCTATTTCTGTCATATTATGTCCAACCTCCAAAGAGAGTCAGACTAATTTGAACTTTGTCATCATTTTTGGGCATTGCGTTTCTCAAATACGATCGACATTTCATTCAATACATTAATTCTTGTTTAGTAATTTACATGTACTGAAAAATGTATATTTGTAATGATTTCACAGTGGACACTTCCTTGTTAACTGAATGGCCTGTCTCTTCATTAAGTGAATCAGAATTTTAAAGGGACGTATATGTGCCCATATATCCTTCCAGGGGCGATTTCTTTCCTATATAGTATAGGCAGTCATTATAGACAAGGGTTTTAAAAAGGATATTTCTCATGCACAAACCCTTGATTTTTAGGTACATGTTAATGTACATGTGCTTGTATAGTACCCGCGCGGTTACACCTTTTTCTCTCAAAATGCCCCCCCCCCCCACCACCGTTTTCGAAAAACCGCGTCAATCAGAATGTCTTGTCATCCTCAATGGCGTCAGGGTGTTAATTTTATACTTCATGATGAACTACTTGAAATAATTAGGGTTTGTTTATTGAATTTGCAAAATCATTACACGTGACGAAGAAAAAAGGTTCCTGGACGATTTTTTTTAAAATTTAATATCTTACGGGATCTAGTTAAATGTACCAGTGAAACAGTTTTAAAATAAATTTTAAACAATTAACATTTCTTTTCAATTTTCCGCTTGGATTGAGCACAGAATTAAAGCAAAAAAATCATTTTATATACATTGTGATAAGTAATAGATATGCCATACAATTTTATCTGTTTTGTGGTGTAAATCATAACATGGTTAGGGTTTCACAACCTGCAAGTCCAAGAAATCAGGATTTATCCACAACGAGCTTAAAAGATGCATGGTAGCATTGTAGGTTAAGGACCCTCTCTACACTTGAGCAAAATGTTTTTTAGAGACTGAGAAACTTATATTGTACAAAGGTGTAGATATTGAACATATCTATCTCATTTTTAAAATATGATACCTTGCATTTCCCCCAGGAAAAAATGTTTAAAGATTACGAAATATTGATGAAAAGAAATCATTATTGTTCACTTCTATGAGGAAAATACATGCCAATAAAGTGTTCAATTAATTTATCTTGGCCTATTAAAATGTTAAGAATGCTTGAATTGATGACAGATTGAGTAAAACACGGTAAATTTCAATTTCTTTTATTTGAGTTCTAGGGGCAGATTACTCTAACTGCATAAAAATGCCACAGAATCGGAACTCTTTAGTGTGCAGTGTAGAGAGGGTTCTTAATTTATGGTACTGCTATAAATCAGAAATAAAAGTGATTAATAGCGAATAGCCTTACACTGAAATAACTATTATTGGAGAAAGTGACTGGCTCATTTTTAAATTTCCCTATATTTTGTAACCTTAAATAAACAGTGCCAATGTACATGTACATGTGCACTTACCAATGTCAATTTTATTATTTTATTTAGCAAATGTTTCAAAAAAAATACACACTACATATATATATATAATTTTAAAAGACGAACTAGCTTTTTTTTTATTTTTGTAGTTTTATTTGCGTATATTTTCCCACAGGTAAATAGATATAAATAAAAGGCAAGAAAATATAATTAGAAGAACAAAGCTGTGAGTAGAATGTATAAAACGAACGAATACAATCACTCAAATCGAATATTTCACACGCTCAACTGATGAACTTAAATGAACGAAAAAAAAACAATATAAAACAAATAACTTTGTTAAAAAAAAAAAAAAATATGTCCAATCAAAAGAAAATCTTTCTTTCATGTATATAACCTGTAAGTATGGCTAAAATTTGAAATAAACGAACTAAGACTGCAAATTCGACTTACATGTACAAAGTTGTCGTTTCTTGCAACTCAAAGGAATAGTGGAGTTGGAAAGAAAGTGCATATTTACAATGCAATATTTTTTTTTTTCTGGATACCGCTTATTTGCAGTCAAAATCATATTTTATTATGAAATTGATTTTAACGTAAGAAATTCAAAAAAGCTCCATTGTACAAAATGATAGCGAAGGACAAAGGAGCGCCGTCAAATCTTGTAGGGAGAACGATTCATAAACAAATTAAAACTTATAACACAAACAAGTTGAAAAAGATAAAAATTCTACATCTTTCCTCGAATACAGACAGATTTAAGTGAAAATGTAAGTTCTTTCAAACTGTTCTTGGAGCTAGCTCAGTATATGACAAGAAATTATTCCATCGAACAATGAAAAAATAACGACTCATTTCCCCATGTGCACATTCTAACACAACCATCTCCTGCGGCCGATAATAAAGCATTTGAACAGACACAACTCAACATAAACACCTCTCATCTGAATTTTATAAAATGACATGAATTTTATGTATCATCATAAAGTTTTACAAGTACATGTATTACACTTTCATGCATTTCTTTGGTGGAAAACATCTTCATTTCTAAAATAGTTTTTCAATGATTTTTTTTTTCAATTCTCTTAAATGGTCAAGCATCAATAATTGATACTTCTAAACTCTCAACAAATGTGAAACTTCACATTTCCGTTCAAAAGCACTAATATTAAATTATTTTTCAACATGGCTTTAAGGATTAAATATAATAGACATTGTAGAAATACATCATAAAAGATGAACAGTTAATTTCATAAACTTCTTGGCATTACTTAAAACCTGTAAATTAAGTCTTTAAAAGTTCATTGTAGACAGTTATATATTAATAAGCACTATAAGGTTTTTTTCTTTAAAAAAAAACCACAAATATTATATAGAAAGATATACATAAATGCATTCTGGCGTCATATTGTAAATTTTGAATTTAACAGGTGGTGTCATGTTGTAAATTTTGTATTTACTCCCTCCTGGTAAATTCAAAATTCAAAATTTACAATATGATCATGATGATAGTGGTACAATTATAACAAGAGGCCCATGGGCCACATCGCTCACCTGAGCACAGTGGATAGGCAAAAGCACAAATCAGTTCAGTATTGAAAAGATTCTGGGGGGGGGGGGGGCTTGAATTTTAAACTACCTGATGATGCTTCCATGTCAAAATAACAAATTGCTTTGTTGTACTTGAGAAGATTTTAAAAAAAATTTCTGATATATTCCTTTGTAAAAATTTGATCCCCCCTTGTGGCTCCTCCCTATCCCAGGGGTCATCATTTGAACAAACTGGAATCTACACTACCTGAGGATGCTTCCATATCAATATGACTAAACATAGCTTTTCTGTTCTTGAGAAGAAATATTTCTTCTATATGTTCTTATGTAACATTCGATCCTCCATTGTGGCCCCGTCCTACTCTCGGGGGTCATCATTTGAACAAACTTGAATCTACACTACCTGAAGATGCTTCCATATCAATATGACTAAACATAGCTTTTCTGTTCTTGAGAAGAAATATTTTTTCTATGTGTTCTTATGTAAAATTTTCTATCCCCCTATTGGGCCCCATCCTACCCTCGGGGGTCATCATTTGAACAAAATTGAATTTACACTACCTGATGATGCTTCCATATCAAAATGACTAATCATGGCTTTGCAGTTCTTCATCAGAAGAAATCTTCCTATATATTTCTATTTCAGACTTTGATCCTCCATTGTGGCCCCACCCAACCCCAGGGGGGCAACATTTGAATAAACTTGAATCTACACTACCTGAGTATACTTCCATATAAATATGATCAATCAGGGCTTTGCTGTTCTTGAGAAGAAGATTTTTAAAGATTTTTCCTATATATCTCTATGTAAAACTTTTATCCTCCTTTGGGGCCCCACCCTACCCCCAGGGGTCATGATTTGGACATACTTAAATCTATACTACCTTAGGATGCTTCCATATCAATATGATCAATTAGGGCTTTGCTGTTATTAAGAAGAAGATTTTTAAAGATTTTTCCTATATATTTCTATGTAAAACTTTGATCCTCCATTGTGGCCCCGTCCTACCCCCGGGGGTCATGATTTGAACAAACTTGAATCTACACTACCTGAGGATGCTTCCATATAAATATGACCAATCATGGCTTTGCTGTTCTTGAGAAGAAGATTTTTAAAGGTTTTTCCCATATATTTCTATGTAAAACTTTGATCCTCCTTTGGGGCCCCGCCCTACCCCCAGGGGTCATGATTTGAACAAACTTGAATCTACACTACCTGAGGATGCTTCCATATAAATATGACCAATCATGGCTTTGCTGTTCTTGAGAAGAAGATTTTTAAAGGTTTTTCCCATATATTTCTATGTAAAACTTTGATCCTCCTTTGGGGCCCCGCCCTACCCCCAGGGGTCATGATTTGAACAAACTTGAATCTACACTACCTGAGGATGCTTCCATATAAATATGACTCATCATGGCTTTGCTGTTCTTGAGGAGAAGATTTTTAAAGATTTTTCCCATATATTTCTATGTAAAACTTTGATCCTCCATTGTAGCCCCGCCCTACCCCCAGGGGTCATGATTTGAACAAACTTGAATTTACACTACCTGAGGATGCTTCCATTTAAATATGACTCATCATGGCTTTGCTGTTCTTGAGGAGAAGATTTTTAAAGATTTTTCCTATATATTTCTATGTAAAACTTTGATCCTCCATTGTGGCCCCGCCCTACCCCCAGGGGTCATGATTTGAACAAACTTGAATCTACACTACCTGAGGATGCTTCCATATAAATATGACTCTTGATGGCTTTGCTGTTCTTGAGAAGAAGATTTTTAAAGGTTTCTCCCCATATATTTCTATGTAAAACTTTGATCCTCCATTGTGGCCCCGCCCTACCCCCGGGGGTCATGATTTGAACAAACTTGAATCTACACTACCTGAGGATGCTTCCACATGAGTTTCATCTTCCCTGGCTTTGTGGTTCTTGAGAAGAAGATTTTTAAAAGATGCTATTAATTTTTCACTAATTCTTTATTATCTCCCCTTGAAAGAGGGCGTGGCCCTTCATTTGAACAAACTTGAATCCCCTTCACCCAAGGATACTTTGTGGCAAGTTTGGTTGAAATTGGCCCAGTGGTTCTTGAGAAGAAGTCGAAAATGTGAAAAGTTTACAGACAGACGGACGGACAGACGGACAGACGGACAGACGGACTACAGACAAAATGTGATCAGAAAAGCTCACTTGAGCCTTCGGCTCAGGTGAGCTAAAAATGAAACATTTTTTTCAAAATTTTTCAAAATTAAAACCTAAACTTGAAATGTTTTTTTTTTAAATATCGAATCCACATGCAGAGAAAATTTTTTGGTCGATCGTCAAAAATCCAGATATTTTTGTCCTTATACATTGTAAAAAGCATCCAAGAATACCTATAACAATTTATATTGCACAAGTGGATTCGAAACGGCTACTTTGACATTTCCGTCCCCCCCCCCCCCAAAAAAAAAAAAACGTGGGATTTTACTTCTTAACTGTTCATTGTTAATAATTTTACAAAACGGGATACAAAGATAAATTAAAAATCTTCTAAATTTTGTCAAACCTGTCCTGTCTTGCCATTTAATCATATTGTTAAACACATTCATACTTCTTTTAAAACAATGTTTATAGTTTCAAGTACTTCCAACACTCTTACGCATAGTCTAATGTACTAAGCACTGTCATGTTATACTTTAAAATACTTTGTAAGCACTGAACTTTATGTGTTATGCAACACATTTGAACACGAACGCAAAATAATATATATGCTTCGATTTGAAACATTTTCACTTTTATATGATATACATATATATCTTTATAAAAAAAAATCTTGTATCCATGGCATGATATCCAGTTATATATTGAGTGAAAAACCACTCAATGCACACATACTTTTTTTTAAAAAATAAAATTGCACAAGGAGGGTTTTGTCTTATGAGCGTAGTACGAGTTATCTTTCTTGCATCACATCTTCGAAATCGAAGTCCCATGAAAACTTTGCTACACCGGAATTCACACGTTCTCACAATTTCAATATTGGAATGTTAAAACCCAAACACTCACTACAGCTTGACTTTTAATCATGATAGCATCATCCACGCCACGAAACACATAAAACACGCAGTTAGTGTCGATAAACGAAGGGAAAACTTGGTCCTTGCGGAGCTCACTGGCGCAAAGCTGTAGTCTCTACAAATAGGCGGTGTTAGACCACTATTGAAGTCTGTTAAAACAGCTTTAATGTCTTCACCACACTTGTTTCCTATCTGTGTGCTGAAACAATGGTTTGAAACCTGGAATATCCTGTAATAAAAACGACAAGATGAGTGGACAGTAACGTATATGGAAATTAATGGGCTAAAATTTGTAACCTCGCATAAACCCTTAAAAAGAAAAAGAAAATTACTCAGTAATTATATTGAAGTTAGGAAATAGTGTATGTTGCTGGGAAAACATTTTTTGATCAGTTAAATTGAACTGCAATGTGTATATTTATATATTATACTTTCATGTAAATTAGTTGAATCTGATTCGTCGAGAAACATTTGTTCAAAAACACCATTACCCGCTGAATGATGAAGCCACGCCCTCCAGCGTAGCAACAGTCAACATTGCTTGACGACGGGTGATATTCCAAAAAATAGTGACTGTGCAGAATTTATGCGCGCAAGGTTCACTGTTATATGTATTTGTATAAAATATTCAGTATAATATAATAAATATTGCATGTAGTTGAGTGTAACATTGAAAATTTTCACCCCAAGAAAACCATTGTTAACCGAGGCGCAGCTACATGCAATATTTATACAATAGATTCCATAAAAGTTTGAGAACAAGTTTATCGAAAATAAAAAAAAAATGAAGAGAATTTCAATTTTAAAGAAAAATCCTTCCAACAAGAAATTTATACTCGTCAAAGACACTTTGAAAACAGGAGGTTTTGATTCATTGTTATCATTTGTGACTTCACCCAATCAATGAGCTGGAAACGTATAATACGTCTATTACACCATTAATGACACAATTAATAGGGAGAACGGATATTGGGGCCCCCGTATCGAAGACGACTCTAAAAGTTTAATGGGGCCAAGAATATTTTTTTTCGATAATGCTAGTTGTATCTTTTGCCATTAATCCAGGCAGCCAGAACTGGTAAATGAGATAAACTTCCATTTTATTTCCAGGTATTAAAATAATGAGCGAAATTACATGGGGTATTTGCATTTGGTCACAATTTAGATTTCCTACGCAAGTATGAGTTAATAAAGCATATCATTGTCTGGATACAAAGACATGTAATTTGGAAATTATGTTTATGTATATGCAAATAAGAAACTTTCTTTAACATATTAATGAAATCGTTTTATTTCACTGGATGCATGATGTTGAATAATGAGAGTGTGCTTAAATTTCAATAATGCACTTTGCAAGATAGGTTCAAGAGATAAAAAAGGAGGGTCGTTCTATCATCACTGCCAAAAATTGTGCTTCTAGTTCTGCGTAACTGATTTTTTTTTAAATAGAATGCTATGCATTATCAATACTGTTAGTCTGTTATGTTTCTTCAAGGAGCATTCTGAGAGTACTGCATAAGCAATACGGAGCCCACTAGTGATATGGGCTGTTATTACTTCGAAAATCATGGAAGTGGAACAAAATAGTCTGTAACTCGGCAAGATAGACTAATATATCAAAATCAGCTTAGTACATGTATATGCAATCACGGAAAACCAAGACAGACTGGCTGAAAGACAAAGGAACAAGACAGATAGACAGACAGAGAGACAGATAGACAGACAGACAGTGAAAACCCTATAGTCCCCTCCATTTCACCGTCAGGAGACTATTAACCAGCAAATCAGATTTTTTATATACTTACCCACACACACTCTTAACATATTTTTCTTCATCTTCACTGATGCTATAGGTCACCCCCGCTTCGTTGGAAATTTGGACTTCTTTTTGTTTGCTCTCTGTGCATTTCTGGATTTCAGTATTCTGCTTCGTGATGCAGTCAGCTTTACTTATATATACTGAAAAATACACATGTACATCAAACTACCTTTTTCACAGATTATAAACCAAATACTCACTATTAAAGATCTATAAACTCACTACATAGACGTATAATATATACTTACGGGACATACTGTGACATAGTCTATCAAATCCAGCTTGCCAGGCGTTAGGATCTGCGTATTTCGTTAACATCTCTAATTTCACCGGATCCTTACACGATTGGTGTAAATTACGTAAGCAATTTACGGAGTCTCTAAAGTTTCCATTTCTAAAATGAGAAAAATACTTATTTTGTTTAACTATGCAATGAAACAGTTCCTCTTAATTGTTGGACTGGGGATTTTGCCAGATCTAGAGTTACCGGGTATCTTGTTTTCTCTGCAAAAGTATAGTTGACAAATTTGTAAGTGTTGTAAATATTCAATTTACTGGTAAAAATTCAATTTACTGGATGATTGTAAGCACAATTACATTAACTATATGATCCATGCCAAATCTGTATTGATCTCAACACAGTAAATTTAGAATTTACGTAGGATTATTGGTGGTACATGGTGTAGATAACCCATAGTTAAAACAATAGAAAACATGGCGGCATATGGTACATGTACATATGAACGTGTCTAAATATATACACTGGCGTATGCATTTAATTTGCATAAAAGCAGAAGCCATTTATGCATGAAATACCACGTTATCCAAAGTATATATCCTCAAGATTTGGTTAATTTCCTAGATACACTATTAAAGTATACGCATTTTAAAAATACAAAATACTAATTTATGTATTAGAAATATTCTTCAGCATTGACTCAAATGTACCAAAACACCTGTGAAGTCGCAGACTAAGTTTTTTTTTTCTTTTTTCTTTACAGTCTGAAGTGTACTCACTTTTTTTACACACATATATATTTTATCAATGACCTTGTTTGCAAATACAATCTGTCGTTAGGTCAAATGTTGACAGAAGTCTTTCGCACAGATTGTTAGGCCATTATTTTCAAATATTTCTCTGTTCGCCCTATCACAAGTAACACTATCGGTGTGATCGGTCGACAGGGGGTGCTTACTCCTCCATGACACCTGATCCCATCTCTGATGTTTTCAGAGGCCCGTGTTTGCGCTGCTTACTATTTTGTATTTTGTACCGATTATTGTTTCGTTTATCTTCATATTTCAATGATAGCTTATAGTTATCAAGAATCCTGAAGAATGTGCGAATTATTTCGACCCTATATCGTTATACATGTACATACTCGCAGAATTGCTTGGTCCGATAGATGTCCGCGGGGCTTATGGTGACCTTGGCATTCTCCCCGTCCGTCAGATTGTGGAGGCACGTGAGGGCTTCTTTCAGGGCGTTATTCTCGGGGCACGTCCCAGAGCAGGTGACGCTCATCAGCCAGAACAGCATCATCACTGTTGTATCTGTGAATAATTGATAAATTAGGCGACAAGTTAAAGACATTGTCACAGTTTTTAAACGTAATTTAAGTATAGATAAATATTGAAAACGTTTCACTGAGAAAAGAGAAACGGGGATTGACGGGTTTAATTCATTAACCTACTTACTTCGAAATGTGGTCCTAAAGCCTATTTGTGCATTCTGTAATTTTTTTTTTGGGGGGGGGGTTACAAAAATATATCTTTGCCTCCTCTCCCAATTAGAATAATTAAATATGTACTTGGATCATCCCTTGTTCTTGGCATTGCCCCCTAGGATTTAGGCAATTATATAATATACTAGAAACCTTGTTGCCATGGCAACAAGAAGGTCTTCCGTCCCTTCTCTGTGTTCAGAGAAGTTGATTCCTCACTAATAACTTGTTATGTTGTGCATTCCCTGTAACACCTTCATAAATAAAATATAACAAGAAGTCTGTGAGCCAGTGCTCACTAGTAATACCCCCACTTTGATGTGAATGTACACAAGTTCAGTTACGGAGAGACACAAGGATGAACAAGAAGTTGACATCAGATTCTTACAAAAATGAATTCCACCATATTACAGGCATAAACAAAGAGTGTGCTAAAATTTCAAGCATCTGCAATCAGTAGTTGCTGAGAAAACTGCGACCAAAATCTCTTATGTATGGTACGGACAGACGCACGGATAAACAGGAAGTTAACAGCGGATTCGTACAAAAATTAATCCCACCATATGGCATGCCTAAACAAAGAATGTGCAAAAATTTCAAGCATCTGCAATCAGTAGTTGCTGAGAAAACTGCAACCAAAATTTGTTATATATTGTACGGACAGACGCACGGATAAATAGGAAGTTGACGCCAGATTCATAAAAAAATTAATCCCACCATATGGCATGCCTCAACAAAGTGTGTGCTAAAATTTCAAGCATCTGCGATGAGTCGTTGCTGAGAAAACTGTGACGAAAATTTTGTTACAGACAGACAGACAGACACACAAGGGTAAAACCTCTCCTTTGGAGCGGGAGTATAATTAAACGTTTAAATTTTGAAAATATTGCAAAACTGGAACGGAAAGAAATACGAGACATCATTTAAAGGGGGGGGGGGGGTATGACCATAAAGTCTTTGTGTGAATATTTTTATAGTTTGATATTCTCACACTTAAATTGTACAAAATATAAAATTATGATAAGATTTTTCTTTTTAATTTAAGGACTATCTACACGGATTTGTTTTATTCTACCTGATTTCATGCATTTGGTTACCCCCCCCCCCCTCCCTTTCCTTAGTCAGCACCACACACGCATAAAAAATTGATTGACAATTCACTGATGTATTACTTGAAAGCATATTTTTTCATATACTGTTTCGAGTATACAGATTTTTTGTGTTTTATTATTTTAATACACTGTATATCATTAATTAGCCATACCTTTATGCGCTAAGTTGCTTTGAGCTCTTAATTATGACGAATCTTGTTCTGAACTAAATTTCATTGAAGTTTTTTTCCTTTCATCGAAATTGCTATTTGTTATTGAATCAAGATGAGAAAATAATAAATTCTACTTTAAAAATATAATTTGACAAATCTCCAATTTGCGATTTAATTGCATAGGTACCTAGCTACACTTACATTTACCTTGCTTTGTCATATCCCAACTGCATGTTTGCACATTATGTTTAGTGCAAAATTTAACTGCAAACTGCTTATGAAGGAGTAAATAAACGCACTACTATTGTGAAGTCAAATACCATTGCTCTGACGCTGAACGACATTACCCCCCCCCCCCTCCTCCCACCTTTAAAGATAAAATCTTACAATTGAGACATTCTGGGAATTGAATACGAGTCGCCCGTGTGAAAGTTTCAACACGCTAACAATTTCGCTATCAAAGACCTTCGCATCAAAGTAGCAAGTAATACATATCTAGAGTACGGGTTAATCAATTTTTAAACAAATTACATATTTAGCATTCTGATAAGACTCTCTATATAACCTATAAATATAATTAAAAAAATAATGAAAAACAAAAAAGTTCAAAAAATTAACCTTTTTAACCACTTCCTGTGACGACCGGAAGTGGCGACGACACACGAAATGTTTTCATCACACATCTACAAATCACTTTCTATCATACCTGAAAGTTTCAGACTCCTGTCTTTAACAGTTTCTGAGAACATTCACGGACTAGATTTTTAGTGGAAAAGGTGAAAAATCGTAATAATTTCTGACCGGAAGTAAATTTTTCCAAACTTTTTCAATATTTCAAAATGACATGAGATAACACATCATTGCTGAAAATTTGGCTGAAAATCATTGAGTAGTTTTTGAGATATCGCGATTTGAAAAGGTCAAAAAAAATAAAAATGAAAAATAAGAAGAAGAAGAAACAGTAGAATCACTATAAGGTCTTCCGTGAAGACGGAAGGCCTTAATAAAGAAAATTAAATATGAAGTAACAAGAGTTGATATAATATAAACTGACGTTAGCACACGTGTCAGGTTGAAAAAAAACCCAGTGATAACGGGTTCACCTGTCTCTCAAGATCAATATTATATAATGCTTTCTAGATTAAATAAATATCCAATGTTTAATAGTCAGCATGAAAGATTCATTCTGTATCTAGAGACACAAATTCTTTACTCCTTGTTATCAAAATACGTTCTCGTTTCTAAATTTCTTTACCTTAAGTTTATATCCATTGCAAGCATTGAGTCATTGCGAAGAAATTCTTTTAGATTATGCATTAAACATTGTACATTATCAAGAGGGATGCTTGTTTCTACAAGTACTAGTACTTTTCATGCATCATAATTTCAACTTAGAATAACTTAAATAGAGTTCATACAATAACTGTTGTGTTTACTTTCCACTGGGAACCGTATCTTACGAAGTTCAATGAGACTTAGCCTAATTAAGAATGTTTGCGCATAAAGTGTAAATTTTACCATTTTTTGAAAATGAAATCTAAAAATTCCTCTCATCAGAGAAAAAAAAAACAAAAAATATTATCAATTTCTCGATCAAGACTCAATTGCCTTACCGTCTAGCATGAATCCAGTTCAATTCATTATGAAGTTGATACATGTACATAAAAAAACTGAAACTCGGGGGGATTCCTTATCATACAATGTATATGTGTTATTATTATGTTTAGTCTTACGTGTTTAAATATACGAATCTAAGCATGTGACAAATCTATTTTTAAGTGTAGCTTCTTGAATCAGAAGTAATTTTCTTTTTAAAAAGCACTTCACGCATGCTTACGGGGAGACAAGATACATTTTATTTTCCATGTATGTTCGATCATGCGGTTAGATTCATCCAGTATAATTTTCACTGATAACGATTTTGACAAAATATATGTTAAGTACATCACAATCAATGTCAAGTTATTGTTCAATATGACCAAAATGCTTGAAATTAGCGAAACTGTATTAACCTATATTTTCTTTAGTCTAATGGTCTAATTTTAGGGCCCTGTCATTTTTTTAATCACGATAAAAATTACTTTTGTTGAACAAGTAGAATGAGGAGTTTCGATGAACGAAAATATATATAGAGTGCCAAAAGATTCCCAGTCAAAAGAGGAATCATTCTAATAATTAAAAGGACAGCTCATTTGTTGAACAGCTGGAGAAAATTTAATAGTGTAACGGCAGTGAACATGCTCATAAGGTTAAACAACATTGATTAAAAATTTTCCTTAATTAGCAGAAAGAACATACAGAAGACAGTATAGAAATGCTCACTTGAGGTCACGTGAGTAATTCAATAATAGAATGGACCCAATGTTGAGTTTCCATAATTTAGCACACACAATTGAAAAAAAAATAACTTACGCAAAACTACTGGCCACACCACCATATCAGTTGACTGAATGCAAAAAATACGTCACACCAAGGGTTTCTCTCTGAATTTCTTCATGTTTGTTGTCCATCAATCTAAAAATAGATACAGACCACATCACAACATCACATAAACTGAAATAGCCTGAGAAAATGATTCCCAGTTTCAAATCCTTTACCCAACAGAAACTTTTTTGGTCGTGATAAGTATATGTACCAGCCGTGTAATAGATCTACCAGTCGCGGATTTATAAAAGAAATCCTTTTAAAACCAACCATTAAGGGACATCAAGGATATACATGCGGTTGCACCCGCCGAGTTAAATGTCTGCACATATTTTAATTGTATACTAAAAAGTTCATTCATCCGTGCAACAAGACACCTGAAGAAAATGTATGTAAAACTTCTGTTATTTTATGTCGTTCCATTGAAAATCAACACTTTCCTAAAAAAAAATTCACACTTGGATGAGCTAAACTTAAAAATATTTTTTAAGCTTTGGTGGTCTGTTTGGATATATATTTCTAAATTACTGAAAACGTTTGGGTTTGGAAAACGGCATCCTGCATAAGCCAATAAACTTCTTTTAAATATCTTTTTACATGAAAACTTCATTAAGGTAATTTACTTAAAAGAAACCTGACTAGATTGATTTCAAGATTAATCCTCTGGGGCGAAATGAGTCGTCTTTAAAGGTCTACAAAATGCGAAATTTGTTGATTCATGTACAAGCAATTAGTTAAATTCTCATGTTAAAAAATGTATACAAATATTTTTATCTGATCAAGAAATATAAAAATCCATACATGTCGCAAAATATATCTACATTTATTTAACATACATCTCTGTGTTACACACATTTGTCATGATATACATATGTACAGCTGTACCTATATGTCCTAATTTTATCAAGTTCGCAGACTGCTTACCTATTACTTGAGGAAATACAGTGCAAATACATACAGCACATGTATATGAATCTGTACACACAATATCCTCTTGTTTTATTACTATATTGCCGATATCTAATTTTTCTCCGAAAAATGTCTTTCGACGAAATTTGCGGTCACTTGCTCCATCTGCAAGGTCGTAGACCAAATGTTTGTAAATGGTTTATATTGATCACTATCAAGATAAACACTAACATGACGAATCTAATCATCTTTATCCAGATCCGATCTTTTTTTTTTCCTATTTAAAGGTTTCACTCTGTTTCCATTTATGAACTGATAGCATTTCAAACGGCTACATTCAACTGTCTCAGACTTCAACCTCAAAGATAATTCTTGCTTTATGCCAACCATACAACAAACATAAGATGTCAATTTATATTCGTTGCAGAAAATCTCTCTTTTTACAGCATAAACGTTTTTCCATTTTTCAATTATCATCGCGCCGCCTGCTTTCAAATCTCGCGAGACTTCTTTCGAAAACTCTTCATTAGGTTAGTTAATGGCGGTCGATATTTCATCTTATTCAGTTTTGTTGTTTTATCACCAAAGCAGGTTTGTAATGTGCCCCTCTTGAGACAAGCGAATACTGATATCGATATTTATATTTCTCTACAGACCTACAATTATGAAGCCCCTCATCCCCCGGAGAAAGGTTTTAAGTATGTGCATAGTTTTCTCCTTTCCCCTCAAAAATACAAGTATTACACAAGACAATAGATGCTTAGGATAATGGACTCGAAAGTAGCTTTCGATGAAGAAAAACATATTGGTGCACTTGGGTTTGATGCGTCTGCACCAAGAAAGTACTTTGATTTAAACGAATGAGAAAACAACTTGCACGAATCGAAAAACCCAATCAATTCTATTTGCAAATTTATAAAGTTCTATATATTCTTCATACGATATCATCAAGAAACTGCAATCAACTTCGGAAACTTCGATTTCATGTTGCTCCTACTTAAAACTACATACAGAAGGCGTTGCTTCTTGCTTGGTCATTGCTTATTTATTCCAGCTATTACTTATATATGAAGCACCATGCAATTACATATTTTTATCTTCTATACTGGTTTATTAGAGGCAGTCCCGATCTTAATTGGTACAGTGTAAATACAAAAACATGTACTATATATATTATATACAAGATATATACATTGTTATAATATACAGTATAGAAATATTTTTATTTACCAATTAAGATTGGGAGTGCCTAAGTATGTATTTTACTGGCAATTCACGCAGAAAAAATGATTATAACGTTCAGCATATACCTTTTATCATTATACCTTTTCATATTTCCTGGATGAGAAGCGTTACAAATTCTGATACATCATGAACGAAGAGTTAGTTTACACAAGAACTATAAACAGCTGGAAGTGGATAATCGGAGCAGAGGCAACAAACAGATAAGATTCTACTGTAATCTTTACAAATTCTCTGCATTGGGAAGGGGAAAAAAGATGCTGTATATATGCTTAACTTACGCCTTCCTTTTCTTCCAACTCACACCACAGAAAATACAGGGCGAAAATATTTCTTTCTTTTCTTTGCATTCCAAGACGACACTTTCTGCTGGCAAAGGGGGAATTTTTCTTATTTTTTTGCAGGAACAGGACAAGCCAAATGTGCTATATTAATACTGTTTTTTTACCAATTGATAAGACTAAGTAGTATCGTTAGGTATGATGCAAACACTTGGGGACGTAATGCTCGAGAAAGTGGCATAATTAGTGTTCACGACCAACATCAGTGCATGTGCAACACGTGTTTCAGCAAGTTATCTACCGAGTTTTGGCAATGCACTACATACACATGTACACTTATACTGTTAATTATATGTATGTCTTAAGCTTGTGTTTGACATATTTATCTTACAATTCTTTCGTATAATTTATAGCGACATCAATTTTGTAAGGCCTTGAGATGAAGGGTGTGACATTGTCCGTAATTAAAACATCAGCAATGTTTAGGTGCGGGCTTTATCGAGTAACACTGTAGTCTATTCTTACGAAGATACCTTGTGTACAAGATATTTTTCATAAAGCTGATTTACATCTATGAAATAATAAACTTGGTCATATTTATGAGAATTTCTTCCTTATTTATCCAGAAAGTAGAACCCATTCTGTCTTGAAATGAAAATGACCTATAAATCTTTATTACCACTGACCCCCATCCCAACCCCCTTCAGTTCCCCTACATGTATCTCTGATTCTGTATCAAATTCAAACAAATATATACATTTCAGGTTAATATCTCTATGTGACAAAAAGCATCAACTCTGCTAAGAAACCGAACCAAAAGCACAATCTATAAGTTCCTGGACAAGACAAAAAAACCAGGAAAATTCAGTATTAAACCCTTTGCGAAAAAAAAAACCTATTTTCATAATTCTTAGTTGAGATGTTTTGTGACTGTATGACATCTTACACTTTAAATTTCAAGGTTCATATATAAGTGAATGTTATCAAGAACATGGCCTGACAGCTATTAGATACACACCCCAAAAAAGATATCCAGCGGTCTTTAACTAGACACCCGAAAGAGACATAACAAAAAATGGTCATCAGCGCTAAATATGCATTTTAAAACATCGGGTGTCGCAGCATGGGTGAACAATCTTATCTTTTCCCCATAATTTTTTATATCATTAAAATTTAGCACGTTTTTTAAAATTGGCACAGAGTATAGATTTAGTATATACTTAAACGTAAAATGACAAGAGAAACGTCTTATTAAGCAGTTGAGAGTGCTCCTAAATTCTCACCCCGCTGAGCTGAAATTGCTTGCAACCTTTCCAGTTTTTTTCATTCTCTGAGAAAAAAATATCCTCTACTCTGCAATAAACCACGAAGATGAAACTTTGCCATATGTTTGAAGATGAAATTAACAATATTTTTATTCGCCAAAAACAATAAATTGCAACAAGGCATGAACGAATAAGTTTTCCACCCCATAAACAACTCATAAATTGAGAACATACGTACCCACGCCTCAAACCATCCTGAAATATACAGCTAATCCTACATTGTGTTCATAAGGTTGAATATGAAACAAGAAACACGTTCAGCATCGGGACAGGCGCCATACAAAACTGAGAACTGATCCAGCAATTGTTTTGTGCTAATGGGTTTTGTCTTTAAACCAACACCGGTAAATCTCGTGCATCAAGCGCTATCTCTCGACAGTTGTCCATTTGATAAGTATCTTCATTTACTTATCATCACATTTGCTGTATACACACACGCGCGTAAAGTAACATTTCGACACCACTTCTATTTGGATTACTGGCACCTGAAGGGGGGAAATCGTCAAAATTCTGCTATAGGGGCATCTTCTCTATCTATATACACAAGGCTTGAATGATGTATTGAAACAACACTTGCTTTTCTCCGAGGTTCTGTATTGATTTTTGCTAACGCTTGTCAGCATCGTCGGAGATCAGAGAAAATTAGAAATTTGAGAGCGTCGCCGTCGACCCCAGAATCTTCATGAACTCGGTATTGAACATGGATCGAGTTAATTAATCTGCTATGTCAATGGTATTTGAGGGGAATAGGCTCTGACGATCATGATGAAAAAAAAATCCAAACTCGAAATTGGGGAGGGGTATTTGTGGGTAAGATCGGATACATCTATTCAAAGAGCGATTCTATGTGCGAAATTTTTTTTTCATATGTAAATAAAGAAGGGTTACATTTACTCAAACTTAACAATTATCTGAACAGTGTTTTGATTAATTATTTCTTTTATGAACATCTTCTTCTTAGTTTGTAATTATTTGATTTTCTACAAAGTCAGAAAACTTTTCCAACGCCTGTAAAAGAGATTATACCTTTATCTACATTAATTTATCAATTGGCAGAACAACATTTGACAATAAATTTCGACTGCTTTATAAAAAAAAACGAATATGCAGAGCATTTATTTCTTAGTGTTGAATTATTAATGCGCCCATTGGTATTTCTTCAATTATAATTTATATTTCCCAGAAATGAGATGTACATATTTCAACAGCCCTTCGAAAACGTTTCACATGGCAATCAATTTAATGAACAAAACATTTAGTGCAAAAAGACGGGATAATTAAATTTGCACCACATCAACACAACGCTAAATTCCCATACCATAACAAGTTTGCGTATTTTTATTTAGAGAGCTCGTCAAGCATCAAGTATAGTCATTGGATCCGCCTCCCAGGGGAATTTATGATGCAAATTTTAGTATTGGATTATCGCCTCGGCACGTGTTAATGTTATATTATAATTGGCAATAGGCATCATGTACATTTCGTATGTTGATTTCATTACATGATAACGTATCGGTGTGAATTACTGCCTCCGTACCTTTGGGTTTTATCACACTGCTAATGTATTTCCAATACTCTTTCCTTCGCTCTACCATGACTGCATTATCGCTTTTAATTCAATTTCAATGTGCAAGAATTCTCGAATTATTCACCGTCTTTGCATTTTTGTGAGATTTCCAGATTTTCCAACAATATTTCATTTTCACGTTATCGGTTAAAAAAAATTTCAATTTATAAACACACGCCCATAAGCGCGTTTATCAATTCAACAGACATGCATATTCTTTGAAAAATACTTAATGCGAACAATACACCTGTAATTTCACGACAACATAATAATTCTTCGGTAATAAATGAAATGAACATCGATCCAGCTGAACAGTAGCACCAGTGGGGATGTACGCCAGAAGTTTATTTCATTCAAAATGATACCCTTCCCCCAAATATATATAATGTGTATAAATAAGCAGTATTTTTCAACCTCTCTATATAGCTAGTTCAACAAATAGTTCCCCAAAATATGCACCTGACATAAAATACAAAGCAGAACTTACCGCGGTCCAAAGAAATACAGCGGAAATATTTTGTTACTTACCGGTACACAAAATCAAGTTGCCAAAAATAGCACATAACAAAAATTTGAAACTTACATGTATATTCAATACCATAACTAATTCCATGTATATTCGAACACAATGATATTAAAGGGGAGAAGGATGAAAGCATACCTCTAAATTCAGTCATCTCTTCCAAAATGTAAGTGACACGGAACTAGGGTGTATGGGGTTAAATTGGCAATGACATGGTCTTGAATATCAAAATAAATAACAAATGGTCGAAATGTGATATTTTGTTATGCGGGATGTATTATTCGCTCTAATTAATATCAACATGCTGACTGTGTTGAACTGAATTTAAATGTCTTTTGTATGTAACTTATATTCAGTTTAACCATGCATATAGCATTAAAGCCTGGTAAAAGATAACTTTGAAGTTTTTTAATGAGATTTTCCTATTTTCACATGGTGTCCTTAATCACTGCACTAGTCCGTTTGACCCTTGTCCACCTCAGTAATTTGCTATCCTTTTATCACAGGGAACCAATCCCCCCATCATGCAGAAAAAATCCCATATTAATTATAAGTACACCTGCTTAGGGATTTGAGGTTAATTATTTTGAATGATCAGTCAAATTAATGCTTACAGGTACATTATATTATATATGTGGAGAGTATGTAACAGCGTTAGTCAATCGGATCTATATACTAAGTTGACTGTCTTCCTAATAGCATCTAGGCTATAATTGATTACTACTAATTAATATCCGGTGAACAATCGAAACTCCTTGGACATTTTCAACAAAAAAAAGTTCCGAAATTCGAAAAGTCGCCATTAATAAGTTGAGCTCAAAATTTTAAAGGTAGATTGACAAAAAGATCCGAATCCCACCTCCCCGAGCTTTTTTTTTTTATAACAGGGTGAGAGATTCAAAGAGATACAGCTGTTTTGGACGAAACTTTACGAATACTTGGTTAGATTAACAGCTCACTACAATGAAAGATAATCAAGTAATCCTTTTTATATTGCTTCATGATTCCTTCGAAAAGCTCTAAAAAGTGAGTAATTAATACATGTGTATACAAAAGCGCAAAAGTTACATTTAAAGGAATAGATTCGATTAAAAAAATCAATTTCTCTAGTTTATATGGAAGTGAAAGTTAAAACACACACACGGAGAGAAAGAGAGAGAGAGAGAGAAGTCAGTCTCAAATATTGACAATGTGTCTCAACATATACATGTATTATTCAGTTTTTTGAAGCCCATAAATTAATAAGTTATCGTGGTGTAAACAAGGCATTATATCATAGCTAAAGTATTGCATAATTTTTTCAGGAAAATCAAATTATTTATTAATTCGAGTAGTTTGATACAAGTATTTACCGAGGCCGAGTCGGGGTTAACGCCATGTTTCTTGGATCGCGGAAATGCTTTAATTTAGTGACGTTGCAATTTCTTCTGCAAGCGAGGGTTCACTCTATTAGACCATAGCATATACTAAAAACAATATGTTTTCGAAATTATAAAATAGTTTGTACATGTTTTATGTTATTATGGCTAAAACACATATTTATTTAAATCTCTCTTTATTGCATACAATAAACTAATACTATTGAAATTCAATGCAAATACATGAGAAAAAATTGAAAATCCCGAAAAATGTCCACATAGCTTTTCTGAATATTGGTGTAATTCATGTATTAAAGATTGATTTGCATTATTATGCGATCACGTCCTATATATAGAATTACAATGGCTTCTATGAATTCTTACATATAGAATCACAATGGCCTTAACGTTGTGAGAAAACTGATTGAAAAAATTCCATAATGAATATCTTTGAGTACCCTATGTCCTTAACGGGGAAAATACTATGATTGGCAAAATCATAAGACATCTGAAAAGACTTTATATATACATATTTTTAACACTCTTCGGCATTGAAATCCTGACAAGGATTTATATTAAATTAATAACTAGGTGATAATTTTAATACACATATATACTAACTTCATTCATTTGCAGAGATAGAATTTCGATAAATAGCTTGCCATGCGTTGCTATCAGCTTGTGAACAAATATACCCGCCATCATTAATCCCAAGGGATCACTTCCGGGAATGCTAAAAGACCATCTCAAAAGCGTCAAGAGTAAACAAAGAATCGTGTTCTACAGCCCTGAGAGCCGAATTGATTTTCTGTAATGCAAATATTAGGAAAATCCACACAAGTGATATAATGTGACACTTTATTCGATCTGTAAATACTCCCATGCACAATAGTTAATTACATTTAGTGTTTAAAACCTGCAAAAAAAGACCTCCCCAATATCGGTATTAGGTCTAGTGTAAGAGTGATTTAGCATTAATATATTGGCACGTGCCGCTTTTGTGTATCTTTGTTGCAGACAATATGCGCATATATTCTAAGGGTTTTTATGTCTGAATTACTTAAACCAAATTAGCAATTAGCTTATACAGACAAAAATTACATTCAGTTGTTACCTAACAAAGGTCGATTGCTACACGACAGACTATCGAAAATCAATTTATACGAATGCACTATAATGAATCATTCAAATTTAGTCTATAATTTCAGGTATTATGAATTCAGAAACACATTGTTGTTTAATGTTTTGGGAAAAAATATGCTCATTGCAAATTAATGACTGTCTTTTTTGTTTTGTTTTTTTTTTTCTGAAAAATATTGAATATTAATTTATTTGAAGAGACAATATGTACCAAAGGTACCAACTTACATGTACACCGCCGCTATCGTAATATTTCGGAAATTGCAACGGCTACCGCGAAAAAAAGAATTGACTTCTTGTGTAATATTTTCGAAGAGTTTAATAAATGAAATTATACACTGTATCATTGTATTGTTTTCTTGTGTAAGTTACGTTTTTTTTTTCTTAAAACTATACACTTAATTTGCGATTAAGATCCGGGGTTTCCTTGAAAAATGCTTTTCAAGAAAAATCAAAATGAAGGAACAAAGACATGAATCTTTTTTTTTTAAGGAAAACATTAGGAATCCATGCAACTGTTTTGTGTGTGTGGTTTGTCTGTGTGTTGGGGGGGGGGGGGGTTTGCTTGTCAAAAAATTCTAAAACGGGTTTTTAATTGACTCGTTAAGGACCCCCCCCCCTTGAAAAAATCTCCATCCGCCCTGGTGTGCAATAGACCGCAGAGCGAATTTATCAAAACTTCAAGAAGTTGTCTGAAAAAAAAGAGGGAGGTCAGGTCCTCTATCTCTTTCTTTTGTATACATTATTTTCAAAGTATATTCGAGTATTCATATGGAAGCCAGTATCTTCTTGATGATATATATTAATGGCCATCGCCACTTACATGTAATTTATCTGAAAACTGTCATTTATTATCTATACGAAAATATGGATTTTCAAAAGTTTGCAATACTTTTCCTTATGCAATCATTTTGAAAATGCTTATTAATGATAACTTAATTG